GTATAAATTAAGACAAACGCCGAAGTCCTCTCAGCTACAAGTCAGTGAGTAGTTTCGAATCAAGATAAGAAGTTAAGTGTCTACAATAACAAACATTTTGAAGGCCACTGGTAACACATCAGTTTCATATATGGAAGCTATTTTAATGAATTGCTCATCTATAAATGATATACGATTTAACGGTAAAAAGCGATTTCCACTTCTATTTCGAAATTAAAATTTGGGGGGATTTAATATTTGCATCACCAGAACACCAAATATGCGAGGCTGCGTGTAAAATCAAAACTAATAGCAGACTGATTGAGCCATGCTGTCAACAAATAGCTTACTACGGCAGCATGATGGTGCCACTTTGGTAGCATATAAAGTCGACCTTTCTTTTTATTTCAAATATTTGTTGATGTTTTAGAAATTTTGAGGTTTTCTTGTTACTTCGATTATATTTTCTTAAATTCAATTATTTTCTTTCTATTTCTAGTTTGACTAAAAAACTCAAAATTTTGATTTTTTTCTTTGCTTTTATTATTTTCTTGTTATTTCAATTAATATCTTATGATTTCAATTATTTTCTCGAAAGTACGATTTTTTTTATCTTTAATTCGAATATTGTCTCGTTATTAAAATTTCTTAATCTCGACATTGCGAATTATCCTCGTTATTTTAGGTATTTTCTCGAAATTTCAATTGTTTTTCTCATTGCTTCGATTTTGTTTTGGTAATTTCGATTATTTTCTAGTTTTTTTCACTTTTATTTAAAAAAGCAACGAGATAAAAATTGAAGTAACGAGAGAAAACTCGAAGTAACGAGAAAAAAGTGGAAATTGCGAGAAAATAATTGAAACCACGAGAAATTTCGATTTGAAAATAAAAAACCTATGCTACCAAAGTTGCAAAGTCACACAGTTTACTCTGGTGTAACTATGGAAGGGAGTTAATTCATAAAAGACAACAGGTTATGAATTAGTTACCGGGGTCATCGAGTCTATTTTCCCATACAGTTCACTGGTGTCACGTAACGTGTGTGTTGGTCCCTGATGCGAGTTAGAGTAAATGTTGTAACTGTTGCCGACCTGCCATCATATACTGCTAACCGGCTCCCTGCGACTGTCAGTGCCAACAGTCCTGGTGAACATTGCCAGCTTGTCAGAGTGTTGTTATTTCGGACAATGAGACGTTCAAAGCAACAGAGTCATATGGTCACACATTAACTCATGACTCCCCAATAATGAACTGGCATATTGCATACAGCTGACACTCCTTATTGACAAAATAATTAAATTAATTGTGTACAGATGGATACGCTTATTGAGTTATGGGTTTAAACAAAACCGCTTTCTTTCGCACTTGATGAACCCTGAGTTTTGTAATCTTGGTAATTATAGTGAACGGTTCAGTGTGATTTAAGCTGGCTTGGCAAAATAACTATCAATATGACAACGCATTGGTCGCCATATAAAATATAAGACTTAGATGCAGTAATTCACTGAACGTGTATGGTAACTATGCAAGGGAGATTATTTAGACAACAGGCTGTGAATAACAATGAAAAATAACAGGCCAACACTGAATAAATTAACCTAAAATGAAACATAGGTCACATTCACACATTTTCATTAATTTTGTTTCTCCCGGAGTCCATCGGGCAGTATAGGATTCGCATCGCTCAGATGTACCGTAGGCAGTCATATCCGCATCGGCCCACGTACGTGTAACTGTCAGAGTCAGGTCCCTGGACGAACAATCCAAGATGGCCGCCATTTTCTTCCTTAACTCCGTGTACTTCGTCGCTAGTAGACGATCCTTTTCTCTCAATGTCATTCGCTTTTGGTTCAAAATGGTTGCATGCTTTCTTCTACACAGTATCTTCTGTCGCCGTCGGATGGTTTTACAGTGATTGGTTGACAGGTTCAGCTGAATGTCCTCCAACGCCTGAGTTTCCGGGATCATTGATTCCATGTCACTAGCGTCTGGTCTTCCCATACAGTTGACCGGTGTCACGTGACGTGTGTCTCTGATGCGAGTTGGAGTAAATGTTGTAACTGACGCCGTACCTTCCATCATACACACGAAATAGCGTCAGCCTGTCTGACTAGAATCCTTAGAGACATATACACGTTTGATATTAATGTCAGTTTCAGGAATATGATATTGGGGTATGTTGTTCAACAGTTATATGACAACCGACTACCCTCGACTGTCAGTGCCAACAGTGTGAGCGAACCTTGTCAGCTTGTCATGGTGTTGTTATTTCGGACAATGAGACGTTCAAGGCAACACAGTCACATGGTCACACGGTATCTTCCCATTAGTTGCACGTCCCTTTTGTCACACACCTCAAACCAACATAGGTCATGGCTGAAGACACTGACTGGTCTACCCTCTCTTACCTAAGGGTTAGAATGGAGTGATCCAAGAAAAGTAGACAGGTAATATTGTACTTTATGTATTATATATATACCCTTAAAAAAGAAACGCAATACGGATATTTTTGGCCATAAAAGCAAAATTAGCGGACTAAGAGGTGCAAAATGAAGAGGTTTAATGTGTTATAGTGTGGAGATATGTCGGGTTCAGCGACGATCAAAATTTCTCCTCCGTCGAGGGGATGGAAGAGCACGGGTCACACATTAACTCATGATTCGCCAATTATGAACTGGCATTTTGCATACAGCTGACACTCCTGATTGACAAAATGATTAAATTAATTGTGTACAGATTGATACGCTTATTGAGTTAAGGGTTTAAACAAAACCGCTTTCTTTCGCACTTGATGAACGTTGAGTTTGTAATCTTGATAATTGTAGTGAACGGTTCAGTGTGATTTAAGCACGCTTGGCAAAATAACTATCAATATGACAACGCATTGGTTGCCAAACAAAATACAAGACTTAGATGCAGTAATTCACTGAACGTGTATGGTAACTATGCAAGGGAGATTATTTAGACAACAGGCTGTGAATAACAATGAAAAATAACAGGCCAACACTGAATAAATTAACCTAAAATGAAACATAGGTCACATTCACACATTTTCATTAATTTTTGTTTCTCCCGGAGTCCATCGGGCAGTATAGGATTCGCATCGCTCAGATGTACCGTAGGCAGTCATATCCGCATCGGCCCACGTACGTGTAACTGTCAGAGTCAGGTCCCTGGACGAACAATCCAAGATGGCCGCCATTTTCTTCCTTAACTCCGTGTACTTCGTCGCTAGTAGACGATCCTTTTCTCTCAATGTCATTCGCTTTTGGTTCAAAATGGTTGCATGCTTTCTTCTACACAGTATCTTCTGTCGCCGTCGGATGGTTTTACAGTGATTGGTTGACAGGTTCAGCTGAATGTCCTCCAACGCCTGAGTTTCCGGGATCATTGATTCCATGTCACTAGCGTCTGGTCTTCCCATACAGTTGACCGGTGTCACGTGACGTGTGTCTCTGATGCGAGTTGGAGTAAATGTTGTAACTGACGCCGGACCTTCCATCATAAACTCAAAATAGCGTCAGCCTGTCTGACTAGAATCCTTAGAGACATATACACGTTTGATATTAATGTCAGTTTCAGGCATATGATATTGGGGTATGTTGTTCAACAGTTATATGACAACCGACTACCCTCGACTGTCAGTGCCAACAGTGTGAGCGAACCTTGTCAGCTTGTCATGGTGTTGTTATTTCGGACAATGAGACGTTCAAGGCAACACAGTCACATGGTCACACGGTATCTTCCCATTTGTTGCACGTCCCATTTGTCACACACCTCAAACCAACATAGGTCATGACTGAAGACACTGACTGGTCTACCCTCTCTTACCTAAGGGTTAGAATGGAGTGATCCAAGAAAAGTAGAAAGGTAATCTTGTACTTTATGTACTAAACACGTCACATTTTAATTCTGGAAACCCAAAAGTCCAGAAACTCTACGGTCTTTTCCAGGTCTCGGTCAAAAGTATTTACAAAAATAAGGACTGTGTATTAGATGATGGTAATGACCTGAAATGTTTTAACGTTAGATTAGGAAGGAGAGGCATTAAAGTGTTTTATAATACTTGGGAACATGCGCAATAAGATCTAGCAACATAAACATGCATGTTGAATCATGTGTCATGCTTATAATCCCTTAATGTATTTGCGAAACTAAAACTGTTGAACAAAGGAAAATATGCTCGCCCATGGGCCAAGCCTTTTTTCTCGCCCATGGGCGAACTATTTCAATATCGCTATAAAATCGTTGAATTAAGTTAAAATGAGTTAAATTTTGTGTATGACACTTGATGGAATACAAGTTAAGTATCTGCGAAACAAAAACATGAGTTTTGTTTAAAGGAAAATATTCTCGCCCATGGGCCAAACTTCGTTTCATTTTTTCTTTCTTAGTATGTTCCCATGAAAACAACATGCTTATTTTTGTAAATACCTTTGACCGAGACTGGGAAAGACTGTAGAGTTTCTGGACATTTGGGTTTCCAGAATTAAAATGGGACGTGCTACTATATATATACCCTTAAAAAAAGAAACGCAATACGGATATTTTTGGCCAAAAAAGCAAAATTAGCGGACTAAGAGGTGCAAAATGAAGAGGTTTAATGTGTTATAGTGTGGAGATATGTCGGGTTCAGCGACGAATCAAAATTTCTCCTCCGTCGAGGGGATGGAAGAGCACGGGTCACACATTAACTCATAATTCCCCAACAATGAACTGGCATATTGCAATTGCATACAGCTGACACTCCTGATTGACAAAATGATTAAATTAATTGTGTACAGTTGGACCTAGCTAACTGGTGTCAAGTAAGAGTAGAGACGTCGACTTTGTTCAGCCCTTATGTTCACTAACTCACTATCTCACTCACTCACTCACTCACGTCATAACGTGATATTCTATGTATTTGAACTAATATTATCACATGGGAAATGTGCGGTATTATGTTTCCAGATGTGTGCACATCGCGATCACTTCAACCAAAGAGCGTTTGCCATCTAACCAGTGTCAAGTTTACCTTGGGCGGGCCCACACATATATCCTAACCCGGAATGTCATTCAATGCATTCCCCCCGGCAGTCGTGTAAAAGCGCCTCAGTAGTTTTAACTGCGTTGTGAAGGTAAGTGGTTAAGATTGCCTTTTCCGGATTATTGTTTACATCATGGGGGTTTACAGACGGTACCTTACATACATAGGACACGATCGTTAATATAACAACTTCTGAAACAGATTTATGTCAGAATAAAGAAATCTTGTATGTTTTTACATGACCTGCGACGTTTAAATTTTGATGGCACCCGAGTGTGTATATCGAGTCCTCCGTTCCGATATCAGACCATACAGCCGATAAAGATTTTGCCGGGGCATATATTTACATAATACGTGATGCAGTTTGTCTTTAACTGTACAGATGCATGTAGGACGATGTGACCTGATTAATTTGTGTTACACAATAAATAAACACTTTTAAAACTCATTCACGGAAAATATAAATGCTTCTCAGACAAGAGTTTCATGTATTTCTTTTCCAAATCGTTTTTGGAAAAAATACCTACGGCGGGATTATCAGCATGTGAGGTGAGGTGAAATGGGGTTTAAAGTCGCGTCCACGACGATTGCACGTTTACAGCGACGTGCATGCACGTGCGTGTGGGTAAGCGTGGCTGCTTGTACTCGTCCGGACTAATGCCACTTTATAGTGCTAGCAAACTGGGATACCATGCTGCAGCTTAACATGAATACACTTCTTAGCCCCTTATTGTCGAGCTCTGGGCAGAGTAACAACAAGTACCATCTCTTAACGTCTTTTGGTATGAGATCGAACATCCGAACGTCTACCACAAGACCACGGACGCGGTCTTTATCAGGATGTGCCTGATGTTGATATCATGAGACCCCTCCGCCACACACTCGATGTGGTCATGATACGGACTGGGGTCTCTTGACCACTTTCATTGTCACAGAACATCAACAGACAATTCATGTGAAAATATGTTATTGTTCATTTCGCAAAATATACGGAAACGAATTGAAACACTCAGTATTGTTAATTGTAACAACAGATACAATCTTTTAACGTGTTTTGGCATGAAGGACAGACCTTTGTTATAAATTAAAAGCGATACATGCATATGGATTTATATTGCGCTATTATCCAGTCACATACAACTACTCAAAATCGCTGTCGATTCTGAACATATCTGAAAAAATGATTTTGTGGACATGTTGAAGGCTTATTTGAATATACATGTATATGTCTTCTGGATTTGAAAATACATAGCTCTGGAGCTGATCTTAGACCAAGTGGGAGTTTGTTACAAAAGGACGGTCCTTTTTGACCTTCTCGAGCTTGTTTAAAAGTTATTATGGAATCCCGAAGAGCGAAGCATTGCAGCTGTCTACTCTAGAAGTCACGTGTACATATGCTTGGATTAGAGTTGCTGCAGTTGATTTATTAATATACTTCCTGATAAGGCTGATGTTTCTTACATGATAATAAACACTTTTACAGATGGTATAATTGATGTGTTTCAACTGGCTCATTGTAGAGTCCCATGCGGGCATCATCACTGTTTATGAAAAACATGAGAATATATGTTAAGTATGTACTAGTACCCCAAAGATAGGCTAGCCACTGACGTTAACGTCATTGAAGGCACAAACCTATCTCCACTAAAACCCAGCGCGCCCCACTACGACCCACATACGACACTTTGTTGGTTATGCCGTCGTTATGGTAACAAGCTCCGTTGTCAATAATATTGACCAACTCCTGGCCTATATATACACACAGCGTGCGCACACTACACTGCTTTGTCGAAACTGTTTTGTTGATATCCGTTTTACAAGCATAACGCGTCTATCAAACGTGTTCGTGTTTGTCTAAGATGAATTTCTTAAACACATAAAATTTCCCTCCTTAAGGGTGGCCCGTGGCCGCTCCAGAAACCTGAGATCGGGGATTTTTCTTTATTTATTATACCTGGGTTGTGAAACGTATGCGCCAAATACCTGTTTCCGTTACTATCATTACAGAAACAATGGTTCGTGTCGAAATCGTCGCTGTGGGACTGCTGATGCTGGTCGCTACCGCCGACGCCGACTTGAGTGGCTGGTAGGCAAGATAACGCTGATCGGCTGGCCACAATGAGTGACGTGATGTTAACAACGACATAGTCTGGTCCCGATTCCACTTACAGATTTACTTCCAAGTATTCTCATATCCGACATACAAGATCTGATGTGTTTGCATACAGATTAGGACTATTGAAGTTTCGGGACGTTCTTGTTTATGCAGATTTGTACCACCTATATTTGAATCCTGGATAAAGGCTACACCATGTATATATATCTACAGAAAATAGCAATTTCTTACATTTGGGTCCGGTATTAACTTTCTTAAGATTTTCCTGTTTTCGTTCACACAATGGCATAATCATATTGAAATACAGAAAGAGCAGTCGATTATGCAGGGACATATTTGTAACTATTCCATGGCAATAACAACACTACTGCTATTTGACTGCTCTTGCTTCTTAATATTACATGCGACCAACTGGAGGCACGTACAGCGTTCAGATATCCGAGTTGGTATCTTAACTTTTTATCATTGACCCGTGTAAATCAAGAAACCATCCAACCGACCGACCGACCGACCGATCAATCAATCAATCAATCAATCAATGAGAGAGTAAAATCAATCAATGAGAGAGTAAAATCAATCAATGAGAGAGTAAAATCAAGAATAATTCTTGGTAAAAAAATTACGATTTACATAATCGTCTTGTTAATGTACGCATGTACACGTGGATATAACTTGCTTACACTAATATGTAAACATATACATTTATCCCTACATACATATAAGGTATATGAGTATATATACATAACATAGCGTAATATACACCATAGAGAAGAAACAAGTAAAAAACTAGGATAAAAAAATTAATGATAGCTAAGAATAGATTTCTGCGGTTGAAATCTAAAAGCACACTTACCTAATGAAGGGGCTAGGGTATTATCGTTGAGGAATTCAAGTTAGTGGCAGAGCAATCACTGACTAAGGTCGGGAGTTCACTACGGCGGATATCATTAGAATAAGAAAATTGAAGTAGGAAATGATTTTCATCTTCAACACCGTCTGAACAAAAACTCCAAAAGCGTTGGTTTGCTGGGACTGGTGGCCTACTGTATGAGGGATCCGGAGCCACATCTCAAGGAAGCAGGGACGGATCTCTAATGGCGTGGTAGTTGAGTGTAGGGTTCAGTGTTTAATTCTGACTTAAACAGTTTATAAGTTCTGAGTTGAGGCAATAACTGAATACCATGCAACCAGTTACGTTTATCAATGCCCATAAACTGAGATAAAATAGTGTTCAAAACCTAGGAATACGATCTGCAGGTTGTTGTCAAAATGTCAATTAATCCAAAATCGGTAAAACATGTTGCACCTTTCTCTTCCAGGACTTCAGCCGTGCGAGCCACCACATGTGAATTTTGTATACAAGTCTATCTTTTGGCCTGCGCTGGAGTCTAAACCACATACGGGCAGTTTACATGTACAGCTTCAGCTGAGGCTCAAGCCATCCCATGTCAACCCGCACCCATGCTTGCCGTAAAAGGCGACAATGCTTGTCGTAAGTGGCGACTAACAGGATGGGTTGGTCAGGCTCGCTGACGGATCGATGCTCAAGATGTTAATCGCTGGATTGTCTGGTCCAGACTCTATTATTTACAGACCGCCGTCATATAGCTTTAATAGCTTTAATATTGCTGAGTGTTAAACAACAAACAAACAAACAAATTGTAGACATTTATTAAAAAATGTCACTATAATATATACATACATTTGAAGTTAGGAATATATGACAAAAAAGGATTGGCGCTTAACAATATATGATAATGTACCGTGGACATGAACTCTCTGCTTTAACCCATGTCTGTCTACAATCCTACAAACATACAACTTCACATTCCGTTTCCAGGAGTTTCTGGAGCAAGTTTGCCAGACCGTGGGAAATATTTATCAGGAATTCCTATGATATACGCAAGGCCGTCAACCTCACCGACAGCAACAGCGACGGCGTCGTCACACTTGAAGAAATCAGGGGAGACATAACTAAGTTAGACGCTGATGGTAAGAATTGAGCGGGTTTATTCAAGTATCTTTGAATATGAATCTTGATACTGAAGAAATAAAACATTTACCACCATCACATCAGCACCACCCATACAGCATACAAATCTATGAAATCCATGGCAAATTATAATCAAGCAGCAAAGCCCTTTCCATAATCATGAAAACTCTGCGGATAGCACTGTTCGTTGTAGATTCCGACTTTGTCACAAAAAAGAAATGTGTTTGCTTAGTCAAACAGCGTGGGTGAGAATATATTGTTTTAGCCGCACCAACAGTAATGCAGCTAACTGCGGCTCTAAAATATCTTGAAATATTGATCTTGATAATTAAAAAAACATTTCTTCTTACACCACCAGCACCACCACCACCACCACATATATTTTCTCTATTACGACGAATGCCTGGCTTAATGTTTGTTTGTAGGTGACGGCCGTGTGACCCGTGCTGAGTTTGTCCGCTACAGCGTGGAACAATTTGGCGCCAACATCGCCATTGCCAACAATTACTTCGACGATTATGACCTGAACGCCGACAACTACCTGACAGCCGAGGATGTGGATATGATTGCTCCAGTGATGACGTTGTTGGACTCAAACAGTGAGGAATTATTGACAATTTACTGAGTCAGCAAGTTACAGTGTAGCATGCAAGTACAAAGTGTCAGCGTGTTCTTTACGCAGCTCCAGACAATGTTAACGCTATGTGCCGGCGGTCTGTTATTGAGCAATTCTGCACAAGACAAACCAAGGATTGATATCCCAAACAACGCCCCACTCCGCCAGGGAATGTTGGCACGCTATCAACCAAGTCAACCGTGTCTCCTACGACAAACAAAGCTTGCCGGAGATCTGTTCTAACCCGGAATCTCGGGCGATGCAAGCTCAAAGTTACACATGTCTTAAAAGATTATATATTTGCTTTAGTGAAGCACACTAACACGGGTATGGATTCTGAAACATAATCCAAGCGAGCTTACATGTGTACTGACACGCCTAAGGGACGCAACTCTGCATAGAGAATTGTAGCGCCTTTGACGTCTGGGCCACCTTATATATTCAACAGAACATCAAATAACATAATGTACACAGAGTGTTCCTTGCATGTATTGAGGTTTCCTTCAACCTTCACCTTGATCTCATTTCGCCATTACAGAGGACGAGGAACTGAGCAGCTACGAACTGATCATAGGCCTGCGTCAGGTAAAAACATCTGCCCCAAAACACAAATTACGAACGACTTTTGCTTCCATTTGAAATTTGTATAGACATCGATGTCAGTAGGCTACTTAATGGGGAATCTACGTTCTTTTCATTCCACGAGGTTGTATGGTTTGTGAATCTAAGTGTGGTCGATTATGTATAACACGGCTGAGTGAGGTTGGTTATACATGCACGCCGCTTGTAGCAATAGTTCAGTGATTACAGCACTGGATGTGGTTGGTTATACATGCAAGACGCTTGGAGCAACACTTCAGCAATTACAGGGCTGGATGTGGTTGATTATACATGCACGCCGCTTGTAGCAATACTCCAGTGATTACAGCGCTGGATGTGGTTGGTTATACATGCACGCCGCTTGTAGCAATACTCCAGTGATTACAGCACTGGATGTGGTTGGTTATACATGCAAGACGCTTGGAGCAACACTTCAGCAATTACAGGGCTGGATGTGGTTGGTTATACATGCAAGACGCTTGGAGCAACACTTCAGCATGTACAGGGCTGGATGTGGTTGGTTATACATGCACGCCGCTTGTAGCAATACTCCAGTGATTACAGCACTAGATGTGGTTGGTTATACATGCACGCCGCTTGTAGCAATACTCCAGTGATTACAGCGCTGGATGTGGTTGGTTTATACATGCACGCCGCTTGTAGCAATACTCCAGTGATTACAGCGCTGGATGTGGTTGGTTATACATGCACGCCGCTTGTAGCAATACTCCAGTGATTACAGCACTGGATGTGGTTGGTTTATACATGCACGCCGCTTGTAGCAATACTCCAGTGATTACAGCGCTGGATGTGGTTGGTTATACATGCACGCCGCTTGTAGCAATACTCAAGTGATTACAGCGCTGGATGTGGTTGGTTATACATGCACGCCGCTTGTAGCAATACTCCAGTGATTACAGCGCTGGATGTGGTTGGTTATACATGCACGCCGCTTGTAGCAATACTCCAGTGATTACAGCACTAGATGTGGTTGGTTATACATGCACGCCGCTTGTAGCAATACTCCAGTGATTACAGCACTGGATGTGGTTGGTTATACATGCACGCCGCTTGTAGCAATACTCCAGTGATTACAGCGCTGGATGTGGTTGGTTATACATGCACGCCGCTTGTAGCAATACTCCAGTGATTACAGCACTGGATGTGGTTGGTTATACATGCACGCCGCTTGTAGCAATACTCCAGTGATTACAGCACTGGATGTGGTTGGTTATACATGCAAGACGCTTGTAGCAACACTTCAGCAATTGCAGGGCTGGATGTGGTTGGTTATACATGCACGCCGCCTGTAGCAATACTCCAGTGATTACAGCGCTGGATGTGGTTGGTTATACATGCACGCCGCTTGTAGCAATACTCCAGTGATTACAGCGCTGGATGTGGTTGGTTATACATGCACGCCGCTTGTAGCAATACTCCAGTGATTACAGCGCTGGATGTGGTTGGTTATACATGCACGCCGCTTGTAGCAACACTTCAGCAATTACAGGGCTGGGTGTGGTTGGTTATACATCTACGCCGCTTGTAGCAATACTCCAGTGATTACAGCGCAAGGTGTGGTTGGTTATACATGCACGCCGCTTGTAGTAATACTCCAGTGATTGCAGCGCAGGGTGTGGTTGGTTATACATCTACGCCACGTGCAGCAATATTTCAGCAATTACAGGCTGAGTGAGGCTGGTTATACATGCACGACGCTTGTAGCAACACTTCAGCAATACCTCGGCGGGAGATATCAATAATGGGCTTCACACATTGTAACTATGCCTTCGGAGTGACGAACAAACGTTCTAATTACTGGAGTACTCCACCAGCCGATGTATACAATATGAATCAGACCTGTCGATCCACGGATGTAGCATGTAATTATTAAACGCAGAGTTAAATCACACGCACTCACTCAATAGTTCACCTGTAAATCTGTTGGCAAGTAATGCTAATCATTACTTCAATACGTGAATATAATGTACCAATCTCTCGTCTTGTGTATACCAGAGGGACTTGGCGGCGCAGAAGAAGGCCGAATGCGCGACCTACTACATCTACCGTCTTCCTCCGCGTGAGATGAAGTTGCAGAAAAAGAAGTGCGCGTCGAAGAAGCTGTAAAACTGTCACAAGAAAGGCATGTAACTTTGGTACTGTATAAAATAAGGATACACGTGTTTGTAAATAAACATCATTGCTCAGTCTCTCAAGCAATTAAGGTGGGCGTTGTTTGGACGTTTCTGTATTCATCACGGGGAATGTTAGTACGAATAAGCTGTTTACATCAGTGGCCCCAATCTTAGCACTGTTACAGTGCGAAATAGCGAAGAGAGTCGTAGCACTAATATCGCTGTTATGAATGGAACCAATATGTTTGAACACGTCACAGGAAGGAACATGCAATAAGTATTCGCGACATATATTATATAAGGATATAAACATGTTTCTTTCTTATCTTAGCCATTATTACATGCGAGTGAGTTGGTCTTATCGTCACTTATTGTAGCATTTCAGTTATGCCACGGAGTATGAGAGGGCAGCTGAATGTGATACAGGTCATACAAAGTGGAAACATCTTCTTTAGTAAACAAGGCCAATCAGGTGTAGGCGGTTTTAAACTTAGGACCGACCCAAGCTACCTACCCAACACCACAGCCAGAAGAAAGTAAATAATAGAAAACTATATATATATCAAGACTGAATAATCATTTTATGGGTTTTATGTCGACTTCACAGTCCATGTACACTTTGAAAAAACCCCGAAACATTGTAACAGTTACTGTATGTAGTTCATTGTACCTGAATACACCAAACAATCCGGTATATAAATTGGATATACGTTATTGGAAAATATTGGTGGCCTGATATTCGACAAACGGTGCGTCAAAACGCAGCCATTGTCGATTTGCAAGAAGCAAAATGCACGTGCAAGTTATGGCATTCGTAACTCGTGGTAGTGGCTATAAGAGGCGAGCATAAGCCAATAATTTGTCATTCAATTGTCAACATTTTTCAAGTTCGAAAGATTCAGCGCTACCGATCTGAACATCGCCATGGGACGTATCCAAAGAGGTGAATCGCAGTCATCTGTTACACGCCACCACGCATATCCTACACCACGAGAACTGACTTGGTTGAGGTTCAGGGAAATTTGACAGCAAATCGCTACATGAATCAAATTCTTCAGCCTCACCTTCTTCCAATCATTGACTACCAGAGGGAGCTGTTTCAAAAGGACAACGCTCCACCGCACACAGCTCGTGTCACGGTAGGGGGCGGTCGGGTAGCCTAGTGGTTAAAGCGTTCGCTCATCACGCCGAAGACCCGGGTTCGATTCCCGGCATGGGTTCAATGTGTGAAGCCCATTTCTGGCGTCCCCCGCCGTGATATTGCTGGAATATTGCTAAAAGCGGCGTAAAACCATACTCACTAACTCACTCACTCGTATCACGGTAGACTACCCTCATAATGCCAACACCCAATCCTGCCCTGGCCGTCGAGATCTCCAAATCTCAACCGAATCGAACACCTCTGGGATGAACTCAAACGACTTGTACGTCAACGTCAGAACACGCCGCAGACACGCCCACAACTGGCCAACGCGTTTAAGGCTGCCGTGATATTGATGGAATGCTGCTGACGGCGACTTATATAACTCCTTTGGTAATGTCAGTATGTCAGCCTGTTACGACGTAAATTGTAATAAAAAGGTAAATCGTAATACTTGCAGCAAATTGTAATAATTTTGACGTAAATTGTAATAACAACGTAAATTGTAGTAATATTTGACGTAAATTGTAATACGCAAATTGTAATAAAAATTGACGTAAATTGTAATAATCTCTACTTGCGGTAAAATGTAATAAATTCTTACGTAAATTGTAATAACCTTACTACCGTAGTGTCCAAGACGCCAATTGACTAGAAATGATCTTTATCAGTTGAGCTTGCGTTTCACATGTACAATTCGAGAAATACTGTGTATGATGACAAACGTACAAAACTGTTAAGTTAGGGATGGTTGGTATAGGCTTTATCGTACAATCGTCATTAAAGGGTGGTGTCAACATAGTGAAAGACATTTATTGGAAGTGATGTGATGTTTGTGGCATGCTATCATCTACGTAGAAGATACTACCATCTGCGTAGAAAATACTATCATCTACGTAGAATTGAGTGAGTGAGTGAGTGAGTGAGTTGGGTTTAACACCGCTTTTAACAGTATTCCAGTTATATCACGGCGTGTCAGCTTAATGTTGGAGGAAAGCCCGAAGTGATGCAGGTCTCAGACGTTTACCACTTCGGTGAAACCCACGAGCACGGGTATGGTGCTGACAAACCTAGAAACATAATCTGGGCGAACCGGGATTCGAACCCACAATCATAGGTTTCTGGCGTGTCCAGGGGACGCAACTCTGCACAGCGAATCGCGGCGCCTTAGACGACTGGGCCACCTGTGCCCCCTATCTACGTAGAAGATACTATCATCTACGTAGAAGATACCATCATCAACGTAGAAGATACTTTCATCTACGTATATGATAGTATCTTCTACGTAGATGATAGTATGCCATCTAGATACTATCGTCCACTTACATACTTTCATCTACGTACATGATACTGTCATCTAGAGTATGTAGAAGTGCAGTCATATATGTGATACCAATGACATAGAGCTCACATTAACTGTCATTACATACACACCTACATGCGCGCACACATACATACATACATACATACATACATACATACATACATACATACATACATACATACATACATACATACATACATATTTTTGTATAATTTGGTTTCTTAGTTAGTCACTATTCTTTTCACTGAAATGTTAAGAAGGTATGCTATAATTTCAATATTTTATTACAGTGATGTTAGCTGGAATTATTTTAATCCTCTTAAACCCCCAGAGAAGATTATCCTGTGAGGTAATTTTTGTCCGTATATATGTCACAAATTAGTGATAACTTATGAAAAACGTAATTATCTGTTTCGAAAATTATGTACCGCATTATACGTGAGGTACCAAATTTGGTATCAAGGTTGCACCAACGATTGCCGAGTTTAATGATCTTAGAATACTCTACGTATAAGGTCAAAGAGAATATTTACGTTAGTGACAAAACCCTTTTCATTATAGATTTTCCATCCTTTCAATTTTGATCAAAACAGTTTTATTTCAGCAATAATTGATTGCAACAAATTGATTATACATTCTGATGCTCTTTGAAACTCAACAAGACATGCCCGAAGATACCGGATTAAATTTGTGTATGGTTGTGAATTATGATTTCGTGCCGTTATTGCATAAGTTAACATGGTTTGTATTTATTTATTATTATTTCTTTATCTGTGAGAAGTTCACAGAGATCGAGAATACACAATATCTAATAGTATATGCAATGTAGGTAAAGAATATCCTCGCCCCTCTTTTGATATCAATAAAAACATTGTATATAATGTTATGTATTAAGTATTCTCCTTTACCATGCATAGGAAATCTATGCTGCATTTGCTGACTACTGGTTTTTTTTCATTTGACATTGCACACAGGAGATCTGTCACTCATTTGTTGTATTTGAATTCTTCGTCAAAATATAATACAAAACACACAGAGTATTTCTCAAATAAATAAGAAAACTCAGTTCATTCTAGTAATTAATCCTCTTCTGGACAACCATAGAAATGAAATTCCAATGCGTTTATATATACATATAATTATACAACAATGTACGATAACGACCTCAATCCTCCCCCACACCCACACTTTAATGACGATTGTACGATAAACCCTGTACCAACCCTGACAAGGATAGGTTCTAGTCATTTAACGCCTTTGACACTAAACTTATAAGGTTATTACAATTTACGTAAAAAGTTATTACATTTTACCGCAAGTTCAGATTATTACAATTTACGTCAATTTTTATTACAATTTGCGTATTACAATTTACGTCAAATTTTATTACAATTTACGTTGTTATTACAATTTACGTCAAAATTATTACAATTTGCTGCAAGTATTACAATTTACCTTTTTATTACAATTTACGTCGTAACAGCTATTACAATTTACGTCGTAACACAGGGCTTTAGACAATTTTCGTTTGACAAATGAAATAGACGATGTAAAGGAATGTTAAAGACTGAAAACCTTGCTGAAGTCTCAGTGCAGAAGAACGCAAAATGAATACAAAGCCACACAAAGAGAGCATGTAATAAAAGCCAAAGAACAAATTTTTGAAATTGGAAGATAGTTAACAGATTTAATTCATCAAATTATGCTAACACTATAACATCACAAGAAGAAGTTCCGGGGTAGAATAGGTCTTCAGCAACCCATGCTTGTCGTAAAAGGTGACTTGCTTGTTGTAAAAGGCGACTAACGGGATCGGGTGGTCAGGCTCGCAGACTTGGTTGATGCATGTCATCGATCCCAACTACGTGGATCGATGTTCATGATGTCGATCACTGGATTGTCTGGCCCAGACTCGATTATTTATAGACCGCCGTCATATAGCTGGAATATTGCTGAGTGCGGCGTAAAACAACAAACCAACCAACACAAGAATGGTATCATCATGTTGAAATTTATTAAATACTAACAGCGAACATGCAACTATGGACAATAGTGTTGTAAGAACCTTGTCAGAACATGATGAAATTTGGGGCTTTTGTGATCAGCAAATACCTTACGAACTAAATGTCACTATAATAACTTCTGAAGTTTCGGAACAATAAAACATCTGAAAAATAGAAAATGTCCAGGCTGCGACGGCATCGCCTCCGAACTGTTAATCTTTTAAAATATATTATCACACCAACTCTTGGGACAAGGCTTCTTTCAAGGAGAATGGAGCAAGGCCATAATTTGACCGCTGTATAAAAAAGGATCCAAAAATGACAACAACTCTAGACTGAGGCATTTCGTTATTGCCAATGATAGGACAACCTTTCTGTAAAATTTTGAATAATTGATTTAAAAAAGTGGTCAGAGAGAAACAATGTTATTTTAGAAAATCAAGGAGGTTTCCGAAAAGGATATGGAACAAGTGACAATTTTCACTCCGCATGGAATGATAAGGAATTATCTCTCCGGTTTTACTGTTTTTTCATTGACTATTCTAAAGCGTTCGACTGTGTATGTCACCAGCACTTATGATACCCTCTAACACAACATAATATCCATGGAAATAAACTTAAAGTGATCAGAAACATGTACTCTTAACTCAAGTCCTGCGTTAGAACGAATGATGGATTGACAAGTTATTTTCAATGCTCCAAAGGTACAAGACAAGGGTGCATGCTCAGCCACCTTTTGTTTTCTTTATCTATTAAAGAACTTGAGAAGGAGACGCAAGAGACAGTCTGTAAAAGCTTTTTTTTGTATCTGAGGATTTCCCGAATGTTTGCTCGTTTGTATATTGCACCGTCTGTTGTGCACTTTATTTAAATATGTTTTGATTATTAGGATAATAATCAATGATATGCATTTTGTCCTAATCATGTTTAAATTCTGAACATGTTTTTGTATTTATACATGTTAAAGTTCTAAACATGTTTTGATTATGGCGGATGTTGTGTTTCGGTGGTGTTTATGCTGTGAGCCTATAGCTCATTTCACTAAATGTGTATTCCGTAAAGTATTTAAACACATTCTTTAACATTTGATGTGTTTACTTTCATAACACATTTTTACAGTGAAGCGACACATGTAGTATCATAATGATATAAAATACATGATAATTCAAGCATTTGTATACAACCCTCAAAGTCATGTGTGTATGAGTCTAACTCAACTATACCGATCAACATGGTGGAAATGACAATTCATGAATGAAAATATTTTTCTAAGGATGAAACACATTTTTATATGTTTAGAAAGTAATGAAACCAACAGGCAATACGGTCAGGTTATGAAATAGACAAGAATGTGTGTCTTAGGGCGATCTATCTATACGAAAGTCTGTGAACCACGATGGATTTGTCAACATGTCTCTACAAACACCTTAAATAGCTTAGGTAGAGACTTGCTTGTGTTGAAATACAGATGATGGATGCATACAGTAAACTTTTACAACAGGTGTACAAGACACATCTTGGTCTTACGTTCAACCGCATCACTTACAGTTAAACCAACGTTCTACTATTGTACAGGAATTAATTCGGAAAAATCAGATGTTATGTCGTTCATTTCAACCTACATGTAATTATAACAACTGCGCCATTGTATTTCGATTAGTATATTTGATTTTTCCCCAGGCCCAAGAAATCATTTCGTAAATATTAACACACACACACACACACACACACACACACACACACACACACACACACACACACACACACACACACACACACATTGCATGCATGTATGGGTAGACAGATTGTACAGCTTGAACGTAATGTTATGTTGAGTGTGTAAACGGTGGTTAGGGACATCACTACATAACCAAGTAGTAGTTTGTAGTGGGGCGGTAGACGAAAGCCAGCCCAAAGTCCTACTTACTGATGTATACAAATACTACATATTTCTACACCAGCATTAAGAGTGTTTTTATAATTATTATGTAACGCCGCACTCAGCAATATTCCAGCAATATGACGCGGTCTGTAAGTATCAGACAATCGAGGGATGGGCATGACGAGCATCGACCTACGCAACTTGGATACGATGACTTAAAACAAAACCAAGTATCACACACACACACACACACACACACACACACACACACACACACACACACACACGGTTTTAAGGGAGCCAGGTGTTGGTGTCCGGTGTTATTACTATGATGCTCTGTCATGATGTTCCCACCAACCGTTATATTTTCTCACATAATATAAGTGACACGATTTACAGTTATAGATGTAGATATGTACACCCATTTTTGTGGGGGTCAATCCATTTATCTTCAGAATGAATATTCTGACCAATGATATTCACCCGAATTCCTGGTTATGGGAACTCTTCTATGACCATATACAAAAACATTGCAACATAAGAGCACGGGGTAAGCTAAGCACCCTTTACGGCGCACTGGAAATAGCAACTTTTGGAGAGGCGAAAAGCATTGAAATACGTACATGGCATTTATGAGATATGCATGTAATTGCCGTTCAAATGGTTTTAGGTTACTTACACGTGTTTTGGACTTTCCCGTTAGTATGTAAGTCGTTTAAAATTAGTGAAAAAGGCCGATTATTCTAACTTCAAAGAGAAGGTCGAATTATGAGCAGGTTAGTGACCCAAGATGAAGTTTCACCATATATTTGTACCGTCTTCATCTACATCTCCCCATATGTTCAGCTTCGGTAAAAGATTTGCTCAACACAGGTGATGGTGTCAGTAATGATAATAATAAGAAGAAAGTGATATTTTTATAAACATCAACTCACCGAATACAAGTTTCTGAAACACTGATAAAAAGAAATGTATTTTTATGAGGCCTAAAACCAGTGGTGTTGAACTTCAATGTGTTGCAATTGGTTAAAGGTCTGTCGACGAGCCAGATTTGGGCAGTGTTTTAGTATTTCCCTATTTCAAACGTCACTGTGATGCATAACTCATGAACAGGTCTCACACGATTCGGCAACCGAATACCACCCATTGACCCTTCTTAATCAGTGGTGTCGCAAGGTATCAGCCACAGAGAGATACCGCGTTATAGAGGGGTATGTTGTCCTACCGTAACCACGGAAATGGAAAAGTCGATTTCCATATGTTGGGTATACGGGTGTTGTCACGTGATGTTGGTACTCTAGGTGTGTCATCCTTTGATGAAGGAGAGCGAATTTATAACTGACATGCACCTGCGAGCTGAAGATCGTATGAAAGGTAGGATATTATATGTAACAGTAAATTGTCTAGGGTCATTAAATGAATTCATCCGTCAACAACAAACATTAACACTAACGGAATCTCTCGGCTTCCCATTAATGTAAATTAGATCGAATATATATATATATATATATATATATATGTGTGTGTGTGTGTGTGTGTGTGTGTGTGTGTGTGTGTGTGTGTGTGTATATACTCTTAAAAAAAATGAAACGCATAGGTGTTTTGAGAATTCCAATTATATTTTTTTTCACAGCAATCGTCATAAAGACAATTCTTATGTTTGATTCCCGTTAATCATGTCATGTTTGTGTTGTGCATTGCGCGCAAACACATCTCAAAATGCCTTTTTTGTAAACGTTTATCAGGAAAATGCAAAGGATGCACGGAAATTGCTTTCAGAAAAGGTTTTCGGCACAATGCACGTGCAAAATGTTGGAAACAAGAGTAGAGACACTGACTATAAGAGACCGTACAAAATTCATCAATTTTCTGACGTGAACGGAGATCGAAAAATGCCAAGATTAACTGCAGCTGACCGAAATATCGCCACTGGACGTTTGGAAGCAGGGGAGTCCCAGTCTGCCGTTGCAAGACACTTCAACGTTCACCAAAGCAACATGTCTAGACTATGGGATCGATATACCCGCACTAATTCGACTCAAGATCATCCCTGAAGTGGAAGACCAAGAGTGACCACCCCTGCTCAGGATCGGTACATCCGGTTGCATCACCTTCGTAATCGATTTTCTACAGCAACGGACACTACAGGACAAGTGCCTGGTATGCGAAGATTTTCCGACCAAACCATCAGAAATCGTCTGAAGAAAGTGGGAATTCGAGCTGGACCTAGTTGGACCTGTCTTTCGACGTCTACACCGTCAACGACGTGTCCGGTGGTGCAACAGAGTACAGACATGGGATCTCAGGAACTGGCGACGCGTTTTGTTCAGCGATGAGTCTCGTTTTCTTCTTCAACGACGGGATGGAAGATAACGTATATACCGTCGTCGACATGAACATTTTACGCCGAACTGCGAATATCCCCACGAAAATATCCGAGGACTTGTGCAATTTGTGCCAGGGAGGTATCGAGCAGTGACGGCTGCAAGAGGTGGTGTGGCCAGGCACTGACCATGACGCCCCCTTGTGGTTACACATGTGCAATGACTGAACTGAATTAATGCTGACAATGACGACAATGCTTTTGTCGTTCATTGTGTCTAATTTCATTTGATTGTGTTCACGCTTATTCTGTGTAGATAATTTACATTCGCTTAATAAATATCCTTATTTTTTAACTGTGCGTTTCTTTTTTGAAGAGTATATATATATATCGACGCATTTTAACTCGAACTTCGGAAACTCGATATTTCAAGGTATGCTTGGAGGGCATTAGTAGTTTAGTATATCACTGATGTAAGGTTTTGAAATTTACGTTTTCACATGCTTTTTGTTATTCCCGATCTTATACTTGTTATAGAAATACATAATTTAGTTGCTATGAATATGACTTATTTAACAATCTTAAGCATGTCATATTTTCACTATGTACAGATTAAAATTAAAAAATGCACCCTCTACACGCAGCCCAGACAGCGAATGGGACCTCTCCCAGGAAGCGCTGCCTCGTCAAACCCACCAAGAACTTTTCGGAGAATGTAAAGACTCCCAACATAGCAGCCTTCTGCATTACTCAGATTGTCAGAAGGGCTGTATTCCTTGTAGCAAACCCGGGTACTCTCCCAATGTCAGTCAACAGATTGGGAGGTACCAAACCTATGGCACCGACAACAATGGGGAGTCGGACAACTTGGTACTTGGGATGCAAGCGTAGCATTTCGAAATCGAGGTCCGCATATTTGCCATGTTTTTTCCTGAATTTTGTCAATCACATTAGTGTCAAAAGGGTGAAAAAAGTTCAATGATATTTCATCGGATTTATCAAAAAGGACAAGACCCGGTTGGTTGCCCTGGATACGTCTTAGGCTGTAAACGGGCATAATCCAAAGACGTTTGCATTGATCACTTTCTATGACGCTCTCTACATATTCCGGAGCGTACCATGGATTGACCTCTGTGTGCCGAAGACGGTATATATAATGTTCAAGCAACACAAATATGTCGCTTAGGATACTGTTCTTGTGCGAAACAGTGACAATGTGTTGGACAGTCTCAAAAGGCGACTATGCTTGTCGTAAGAGGCAACTAACGGGATCGGATGGCCAGGCTCGCTGACTTGGTTGAAGTATGTCATCAGTTCCAAATGCATGGATCGATGCTCATGATATCAATCACTCGATTGTCTGGTCCAGACTCTATTATTGACAGATCGCCGTCATATAGATGGAATATTGAGTGCGGCGTTAAACAACACATATTATAATAATTATTATTATTATTATTGGGATGCAAGAGAGACATTTCGTACCGTATATTTGCCATGTGTTGCCAATCACATTAGTGTCAAAAGGGCCAGAGAATTCAATGATATAAATGATTTCATTGGCTTTATAAAAAAGGTAAGATTTGTATCAATTATTTATTTTATTAGTTTATTTATTTGTTTGTTCATTTATGTATTTGTCTATTTTAGACCTGAAATGCGGCTTATCGTATTTCTGTTGAGTGCCGTGTGCGCCGCCACTATGACAGGAGCAAGTCTCAGAAGGTACAATTGATCACCTTGGCTTATGTAGCGCCATCATTGTCTTCGGTTCCTCCCCGGATGTCAGAAAGGTCAACAAGGAAGGGTTGTGATCAGCTTGGTCTATCTACCTATTGTTGTCAATGTCATGTTGAAAATGTCCCGAAAATAGGGAACATGCCGTATATATCTACTTCATTCTGAGGATGTAACAATATGTCTTGAAATTAGAGCAGTATATGTTTAATAATTATAGATACATGTTTACTATCTTACTTTGTTGAGGTCAGTCTGTTGTAATAGGAAGCTAAATAACGCAATGCTACTGGTACAGCCAATATGTTACGTTTTGTTACTAGAACAACGAAGTTGCACAATGGTGGAGTTACATTAAATAGGTAGCACAAAGTTACTGTTACAGAAACTAGGGGAACAGTTTTACTGTTTTGGATTACAACGTGAATGTTACAGCGACTATGTTACAGAATGTTACAGCTGTATAAACTATGATGATCAGATACAATGTTGCAGCAGGAGGGATGCCGGGTACCTAGGGAGCCGACTGGCCCTGGACAAGATGCTCATGGACGTCGACACAGACAACAACTCCATCATCATCCGCTCAGAACTCTTCAACAACCAGGGGCAGGGGGATACAGATAGTATGTATAACACACTGCTTACACCGCACGACCCTTGAAGATGCGGGTAGAGGAGTCTTCAGCAACCCATGCTTGTCGTAAGAGGCGACAACGAGATCGGGTGGTCAGGCTCGCTGACTTGGTTGACGCATGTCATCATATCACAGTCGGATCGATGCTCAATCACTGGTTTGTCTGGTCCAGACTCGATTAATTACAGACCGCAGTCATATAGCTGGAATAAAGCGGAGTGCGACGTTAAGCAACAAACAAACCATACACACAAATCAGAAACGCACACACACCGCACACCTTACGCATATATACCACACCACACACTCACACTGTTCTGAATGGACGAGTGCATAATACTTTCATTTAGACATGTATTTCTATGCTCAATTACCTTTTTTAGTTGTAATTTTCTCAAATTTCTCACGGTTTCAGATAACGGATTCATTTCTCGCTGTGAGTGGGTCAATCGCGCTGTCGACATATACGACGACTCTAAACTTGCCGCACTCAACTACTTCGACATCATCGACACCAACAGAGACAACAAACTGACGACATCGGACACGGATTTCCCCTCGTTGGACGCTGATGGTATGTATGTACACGTGAAGGGGGAATGAGTAGGTGAGTGACTTCTGTAATGACCCATGGCAGACATTGTTACCATCCGATCCCCATTTGTCAAATCTTAGCAACAGGTCCCTGGAACCTACTGACCCCGAATCCCTGCATGGGTAGGGGAAAACACAGAGTATATATGCGCCTGGAAATTAATAAAGCACGTAGCGGTTTCACTCTTTACTGAGATTAAGGACTGTCTTCAAGAGATTGCAATGAACGTGTTTGGACAGTAATGATCATTTTTTAAAGAATTAAACGACGGGTGGGAGTTGTTTATCGTGCAATAAAACATTGCAGGGAGAATACACCATAAAGGGAGCAGCCAAGAGTGGTGTATTCTCTCTGTCATCTGGCTGCGAGTGCAGGTTCGAATCCCCAGAGACGTCATGATACAACAATGTTTTTTCGTCAAAATATAAGATAGCTACGCGATAAATTGCAAAGAACAATGAAGAATAAAGCGTTGTTCTATCATGACGTCAATATCGAAGATTCCAATAAGCTCTAGCAACGTGATGACGTCATATATTGGACTACGTTATGTTGGAGAGGTCCAGTATGTTGTTGGCCACAGATGTAGCTGGGCTATGCAGATTAAAGTAGTGGCCGATCGATGGCATCCAAAAGTGGGAGAGATATGACAATCGGTATCGGGAGAAAACGTGAAGATACTTGACTTGAGGAGTATGAGAATATGCGGGAAGTACCAAACTTAAACCCACTTGCTCGTAAAATGGACTTGTCCGACATTTCAAAGGTCGAATTCTATGCAGGGGGTCATCATTATTAAAATTTGGGTAAATATTTTTAAAGCTTGTACTTTTTATCAACACCCTTAACAAATTGTACATAATGTTGATATCCAATATAAGAAATAAACGACTTGACGATTGTTTATCGTCCGAAAAAATCCGAAGGGAGAATAAACCACTCGGGGCAGCGCCACTCAAGGTTTATTCTCCCTGCAATGTTTGATTGTACGATCAACAAATCCCGTTCGTCGTTTATTTCTTAAAATAACTGATGCGGCGTAAAACTATATTCATTCATTCATTCATTCATTCATTCATTCATTCCCACGTTGACTCAGTTAATAAAATGCGTTGTGTTACAGTGTTATTCACGCAACTAAAGTATTGGACATTGCCATCATTATTTTCGCTTTCTATTGTCAAGAGCCTCATCTTCCAGATGACATTCATTTTTCCATCATATGTCATGCTGGAAGCATGTGATACCATGTTGTCAGACATACATGGTTGAAAAAACGCTGGGAAGTTAAAACAGATCCAGGTGTATATAAACACAATGCAGATTCACGCCAGTTTAGGATCGAGTTCCGACAAATACCACTATACATCAACATGTGCAGTAATGTCAGTTACTGTAAAATGATTCTCTTTCCATTTTAATTTGTTTGTATTAAATGTGGCAATAGATACAAGATAATTCATGAGTCAGTTAGTGGTAAACATTCATATGTTTCTTTCTCTTACAGGTGACAGGGAGGTCTCAATATCAGAACTTCGTCAAGTTTTACAACGGGTAAGTGTGCAATGTAACTTCTGCCTGTAGACATATGTTACGTATACTGATTCGAAGAAAAAAGGATACGGCTACCAGACACAGCATGGTTAAAATGCCATTACTGTGTGCCCGGAAGATAGCCAATGATTGTTACGTAATGACGTTTGTGTGCCCGGAAGATAGCCAATGATTGTTACGTAATGACGTTTGTGTGCCCGGAAGATAGCCATGGTTGTTACGTAATGACGTTTGTGTGCCCGCTAGATAGCCAATGATTGTTGCGTAATGACGTTTGCGTGCCCGGAAGATAGCCAATGATTGTAACGTAATGACGTTTGTGTGCCCGGAAGATAGCCAATGATTGTTACGTAATGACGTGTGTGTGCCCGGAAGATAGCCATGGTTGGTACGTAATGACGTTTGTGTGCCCGGAAGATAGCCAATGATTGTTACGTAATGACGTCTGTGTGCCCGGAAGATAGCCAATGATTGTTACGTAATGACGTGTGTGTGCCCGGAAGATAGCCAATGATTGTTACGTAATGACGTGTGTGTGCCCGGAAGATAGCCAATGATTGTTACGTAATGACGTTTGTGTGCCCGGAAGATAGCCAGTGATTGTTACGTAATGACGTTTGTGTGCCCGGAAGAAAGCCAATGATTGTTACGTAATGACGTTTGTGTGCCCGGAAGATAGCTAATGATTGTTACGTAATGACGTTAGTGTGCCCGGAAGATAGCCAGTGATTGTTACGTAATGACGTTTGTGTGCCCGGAAGATAGCCAATGATTGTTACGTAATGACGTTTGTGTGCCCGGAAGATAGCCAATGATTGTTACGTAATGACGTTTGTGTGCACGGAAGATAGCCAATGATTGTTACGTAATGACGTTTGTGTGCCCGGAAGATAGCCAGTGATTGTTACGTAATGACGTTTGTGTACCCGGAAGATAGCCAATGATTGTTACGTGATGACGTTTATAGGCGACGTGCAAACACCTCGCGGGGTGATGGAGCATTGTGAAATGAGTGAGTATTTTTTTACGTCACTAAGCAATGTTGTAGCTATATCTAGGACGGTGGACAACTGAAGTGGGCTTCACACATTATGCACAGAAGGAGAATAGAACCCGGGTCTTCGGCATGATAAACCAATGTATTAGCCACCCACCACGTGTATGTGAAACACTCAAGCATTATGCTGACGTACTGATGTGTGGTATTGAAGTTTTGTCCCTTCAATATATTTCACATAGCCACGTTCGATAAATATTGTTGTCATATTGTGGTTTAAATGTTATGTTGACAGATATGTAATTTTGGCAGTTTAACATAAATGTAAAACAATATCCACATCAAATACTCGTCGTTAATCAGAAAAATGTGGTTTGAAAGAAGAAATAGAATAAAGGAAGTAAGATATAGATGATTTACCATGAATTTGGCAATTACTGGATTCTGATTTGTCATTCTAGGGTTTCAAATCACAATAATCGCCTCCGATTTATAACCAGCTGATTTGACGGCCGCTTCATCGCGGAAGCAAACATAATTATAGAAACAACTTGCTTCTTAGTCAGTGTCGGTAAATGTTACATTTGGAACCTCACACCGCCCGTTTACTACAAATTCAATTTATATCGTTTACAGGTTTGTTTGTTTGTTGTTTAACGCCGCACTCAGCACTATTCCAGCTATATGACGGCGTCTGTAATGATCCAATCTGGACCGGATAATTCAGTGATTGATATCATGAGCATTGATCCATGCATTTTGGGACACAATGATATGCATCAACCAATTCAGCGAGCCTGACCACCCGTTCCCGTTAGTCACCTCTTACGACAAACATAGGTTGTAGAAACATTTTATGCGGTCTATTCACGGGTCTAGTCTACAGGTAACCTAGCCCTACATTGAAAACACAGTATGTTTATCTACCTAAAATAAATAGTATTAACTGCCGGGCAAAAGAAATCATACACTTGAACATTTACACCTCACTCTGTTCATCGCTGTTCATAAGTAACGTCCCTTTGGCACGCCAGGAACCTATGATTGTGGGTTCGCCCCAATTATGTTTCTAGGTTTGTCAGCACCATACCCATGCTCGTGGGTTTCACCGAAGTGGTTAACGTCTGAGACCTGCATCACTTCGGGCTTTCCTCCCACATTAAGCTGACACGCCGTGATATAACTGGAATAACGTTAAAAGCGGTGTTAAACCCAACTCACTCACTCACTGTTCATTGCTCTGTACTGGGAAATTGCGATCTTCATGCATGTACGTTCAGACGTCACGTCACGTCACGTCACGTGTTGAGAGATCTTCATCCGCCTATGATACCCGCATCAAATACAGTTTGTTTCATTTTAGCCACCATCAAACAGTGCTTTCTTTTGCCCGGTCGTTTAGTCTCTCCATTTAAGCAAAGGTGTATACAATTGCAAGCTTGACAATGTACTTTCAGGATTACACAATGGCTATCGATTCAGCAGCATATAAGAAGCTTGAACAGCTTTCTCGGTGAGGTCAACGCTACATATTATTAAACACGTTTTAGTTGTTATAACGGTAATAGAGTGTAATATTTGATCGTCACAAATTGTTGAAAATCCCAACCTCTTTAAGAATACATGCATGAAGGCAAATAAGTTTCATTCTCGAAAACTGGGCACCGTCTTACCATATACGTACATGTATGTGTACACTTCCAGCGTGGCAGCGCCTCAAGGAGGAGACATCAAGTCTACACTCAGAATTGACCTCATCAAAAAGGACGTGGATTCTAACAATGACGGCGACGTCACACGAACTGAACTACAGGCTCACTTCATATCCAGCTTTGACAAAGATGGTGGGTAGATCTGTTGTACGTGGGATGTCCGTGTTAGCGCGTGGTAATGGTCCTTCCGGACCTGCACAGAATAAAGTGACTTGCCGTCATACTCAATATTTCACGAATTTAGAGGCGGAGCGATAGCCTAGTGGTTAGAGCGTTCGCTTGTCAAGCCGAAGGCCCGAGTTGTATTCCCCAAATATCACAATGTTTGAAGCCCATTTCTGGTGTCCCCGCAGTGATAAAGTCTGAATATTGCTACAAGCGGCGTAAAACACTATTCATTCACTTCACGGTTTGTACATTACGTTGAATCATCACCCGTTAACACTTACATTTGTTTGTTTGTTTATTGTTTAGCGCCGTACTCACAATGTTCCAGCTACACGACGGCGGTCTGTAAACTGGACCAGAAAATCAAGTGATTGACATCATAAACATCGGTCTACGCAGTTGGATACGATGACATGCATAAACCAAGTCAGCGAGCCTGACCATCCGATCCCGTTAGACGCCTCTTACGGCAAGCAAAATCGCCTCTTGAGACAGGCATGAGTTTTTGAAGACCCGCATCTTCAGGGGTCTGCCGCATCATGACGGTTTACTAGAGGAACCAGGCCGTTGCTGTATACAAACCCGTGAAGTATCAACAATGGCTTGACGCTCTCTCCTCCCAGACCATATTGTGGGGGATTCTTGGACCGAGCAGGCCCAAGTTAATTGAGTGACGTCCCCGACGGCGTTGGGCGATGCTCACGTCACTACTTTTCCCGACCCAGACTCGAGTGAAGCCAATTTCTGGTGTCCCCCGCCGTTATATTGCAGGAATATTGCTAAAAGCGGCGTAAAACCATACTCACTGGCCCGGACTCGATTATTTACAGGTGCGCACGATAAAGCTGAAAAGCTGCTGTCTGCTGTGTTAAACAACGTTCACTCTCTTCTCGGTAAAATCGGTAGCAATGATCGATGTGTTGTTTGAATTGACGCCAGCGTTTTTGACGTCGAGAAAACTTTCTTAAAGAAGCGGTTAAACCAGGCCCTGTGTTCAGGTTCGCCGTTGTTTTCAGATGACTACCGACGTTGTTTTCAGATGACTACCGACGTTGTTTTCAGATGATTACCGACGTTGTTTTCAGATGATTACAAGGTTACTCGTTGTGAGTTTGTCGGTGGCTCTGTCGCGAGGTACGCGGACAGAAAGGAGGTGGCCATTGCTGCCTTCGACAACCTTGACATCACTCAGAACAACTACATCGACATTAACGACATCAAACTCTCAAGATTTGACCAGGACGGTATGCTGTTTATTTACATCCCGTAAAACTATCAAACATATGCTCAGTGTATAACACTATGTAAGTGTTATTCCTACCATCGGATGTAAAGGTTCAGTGGTAATAACTATTCAAATGAAAAATAAGTAAATTTATGATTGGGGACTTTTTCAGCACCTGACTTTCATGTTTGTATATTTTGAATCCAAAGACGGAGATAATCTTTTTGTCTCTATATTCTGATAGATACGAATCAGGTGAACACTTAAGGATACGATACTTTAATTCTTGTTCAAATCAGTGATCTGGTGGATGCTTTTATTTAACAATTTCGCTTTTCTCAGGGTCACGCATGCAAATGTTGTGAATTTATATTTTTTTGTAACAGGGCGTGAAATGTTTTTTCAGAAACATCTTTCACATGCATTCATAGTCAGTCTGGCAAATGAGTAAGCGTATTATAATTTATCAGGTGTTAGATGCCAACAAGCCTTTGATGGTGTTTGTGCTAATTTAATTCATTACCTTTGCAAACTACTCATATACAAATATGTTTTTTTAAAGGAAGTGGAAAATTGACAGTTGAAGAGTTTGAGGTCGCTGTAATACAGGTAACTAGGAGATTAAACTCTTATATTTGAGTGAGTGAGTGAGTGAGTAAAAAACACGACCACTGGAAACGGGTCCTGACTCGACTAGGAGGCACAGCTCGGCACTTACACCATGCACTGGGTCATTCGTGCACCAATTAGCTTATACTAGCAAAACAAATGTCAATGCTATGATTGAAGACGATGTCTATGTAGTTATACAGGTGAGGTTTTCCATTTGTCTACTTTGTCCCTTTATGTTCAAGGCTGACTGGGTTGCGCTCAAGAAGGTGTACCCTCAAGCTACGACCCCTGCCCCGCCAACAGGAGGCGCTGTCTCCCCCTACCCCTCAATGTTACTTGCTGGCTGCATCTTCGTGCTCAAAGTGTGGACATGAGTGACCTCTGTTCTTTATTTGCTTACAACATTTTTTCAGAGGTAATTTCTTAAGGTTGCAAAAACAAATGTCAAGTGTGATTTTTTATGTTATTCTTCAATAAAATCAATGCATCAGCAATGTCGGAACAATTTTGAATTTATGTATTTTTATTACGTGTATGCATAGATATTGAGACACGTAGAATGGACAATGATCAGCAAATATTGAAGATCTCAATCGCCGTATGATTCGTTCTCAGACAGTGTTTATATGAATGTTACTGTCATTAGGTCACACACGTAACTCATTTGTGTTGGAATGTTTATGTTAATACTTTCAGGCAATAAAAAGTGATAAAGAGACGGGCTGAGTGACTTATGTATAATATCAGGTTAAATGAGCCGAATATCACGCTGGATGAGCCGAATATTACGTAGGAATAAGCCAAATATGATGTAGGGATAAGCCGAATATCATGTTCGGATGAGTCGAATATCACGTTGGATAAGCCGAATATCATGTAGGGGTAAACCGAATATCACAGATGGGTCGAATATTAAGTCGGACGAAGCAAGTATCATCAAGATGAGTCAACACGAGAAAGCAACGAAGTTTATTTTTTTTATACTTTTGCAGACAAGCGTCCATATTCAACCATTGCAGGGTTTCTGCTCTTGTGAAGGATTGAGGATTTAACTTCCCGAAATTGTTGTTACTTTTGTCAGAACAGGTGTTAAGTTAATATTTTACATGCGCTTTGATTGCGGAGCTGTTGACTGGCAAGAAATGCTAACAGCCACGTGCCTACCTCTTGTGAATGAACACATCCTGTGGTGTATGAACAAGTCTAACAGATGCATCTTTGGCCTAAGTTATTGTAGCCGAAACAACAAATAGTCACACGAGGTTGTTGTCTTCTCATTGGCCGGGTCGTTTCTTGGTGTAACCCAAGTAATGATGTAAGTTTAAACCTTCGGGAAGGTTTCAACCATTCATTATTTCACGGCAGCAAATGGTGGGAGGAAAGCCCGATGTTACAATTCAAAGCGTTAGCAATATACCTACTTGGGACAATCTAGGAGTACCTAGCAAATGGAGGATACAAACAGTTGGCAGTGCACATACGATCTCATCAGGAAATCAACCCTTTGTTATTAATATCGAGACATAGTTAATATCAATTTTCGTGATCAAATTTAAATAAATGTCCTCATCTGTTGAACGGCCTACGTGTAACACTCCATCATAAACTCTATTTACAATAGGGAGATCTGGAAAAGTACATCCGTTATCGAGAAATGTGATTGCCCCTTGATTATATTGATAATAATCACGCGACATTTAGTGTTTTCGTCACGTGGAAAGCTTCTCATCATGATCGCTTTAGTCAACAATCCATCAAGTCACGCTCGGACTTTCACAATCTGAGCCAAGGACAATTGACTAACAAAATCCTCATACAAGATGTGACCTCACGAACATCGTGACCGGGCCTGGTCTAGATTTTGAAAGAGTACCCCCATGTGAAAACAGTCGTAGGGTACATGTTTGCTCCTACCCTGGTAATATTTGTCCCCACGATCTGAGACGCTCATGTAAGCAAACACTTAGAATACACTGCATTCATTGCCATCTTGATACGTCAGGGATTTGTCAGTGACATGTACGGTATTGCACAACCGGCAACTGTGCCGCTGATTTTGTAGTCGTCGCTTTTGTTTGCTTTATCACTGTCCTGAATGTGAATTGCGACAGAGTTTGAAGAGGCAATTTTCTTGATTCGTTTATAGCTGTCAAGTGTCACATTACTTGTTTTTGTAAGAAAAGAAATTTTGTGGCGATATTAATGGCCTATATCTGTACTTTACCCAGGTCTATCTCACATAATTATTTCATGTCGGTGGCCTATATCTTGTTTCAATGTTTAAAATTACTTTAAGGGGTTGTTTCTGGTCAATAACGAGCAAATTTCAATCAACTTGTTTCAGCTTCCTTAATTGTGCTTCTTAGTCAGCTCTAAACAAATACTTATATATGGTTTAATTTTACTGCTGATGGGTATCTATGACATCTTATGGTTAAACAAACATTTACATTTGAAACATGGTGGGGGGGGGGGGGGGGGGGGGGGGGTGGGGGGGGTGGCAGGGGAGCATGTGGTTTCATTTGCATTGCTTAACCCTGTCTTTATTGAACCAATATACTTTTACACAAAATTACCCAGTCACAGATTACTTTACAAATTGTTGCAGTATCTACTGATGGTTAAATAGACATAATCAAAGTTGACAACAGTTCTTTCAAGTTTCAGTTACACAACCTCGATATACTTTCGTTTGCCCACAGTTAACGTACACAATGATTCATTTTGCTAAAGAAAATCACGAACAATAACATCATATCATATAATTTCTTTAAAGCTCGATCGCAATCGCCATTTTTAAAAATAGCATTATATCCATCGGTATTACACACGCGCATTTATACTTAAGAAAATATATAATAATACAATGTATGCTCAATGTGATATTAAGTCTTCTATCTTTGTTGTCTGATGAATGAACTCAAATAAAAAATTGTCTATTTTCATTTTTTGTTCTGACCGGTCATCCGATAATTATATTACGCCAGAAACCCATGACTGTGGGTTCGAATGCCAGGTCGACCCAATATTGTTTTTGGGTTTGTCAGCCGTGGTCGATAGTTCCACCAAAGTAGTAAAAAGGTCTGAGACCTGCATCACTTCCCAGATTAAGCTGACACGCCGTGATATAATTGGAATACACAACTCACTCACTCATTATATTACTTTTAAGGCTGTATGAATACCGATACATGTACAGATTCCAGCGGATTCAGGGGCAGAAACGATATTTAGCGTCTCATGCTTGTCTGAAGATTGGTAATGAGGATCCAGTGTCACTGGCTCATTGTGTGTCATCGTATCTCTTCCACTGTAACAGTTGCTCTTACTATCAACCACTCGCTGCTGATGGTCATTGAGACGTCATTGAGTCTTACCGACGGTAATTCTAATTCAATGAACGAAAAAGGGTTGAAGCTCTTAACATAAGATACACACGTACCTTGTCCCATAATTTGAAGCAGAAGAGTATACTTAACATACACTCTCCAAAAAGAAACGCGCAAGTAGACTTTCAGTAAATTTATTGTACCTAATAAAGACGATATTTTTTATTTAATATTTGATTTAATAGCTGCATATTACAACGGATGCAGAGATAAACTTGCTTAACAATAAACAATTAATGCTTTAAATACCTGTCAGGATTAATCACATGCTTAGTTTACCTCATTCTCATTAAAATCAGATACAAGTTTTCGCTATCGCCGAGGACATCCCGTTAAAGGACACAAGAGAGCAACCTTTCGCGAAAACTGACCGACCAATGAAGGCCTAACAGGAAGTCAACGTTAGCCACTAAGAAAGCAGCTTTCTCAAGCTTTGCGGTACCAGTTTCAAACTGACGACTTCCATTGCAGACTATCCTTTTAAAATTATTTTGAATAAGTCATACAATCTGTAACAGTTATTATGTGCTTTAAACTTTAAAGGTTGCATGATTAGAAAACATATTCCGCTAACAATGAAATAAAACAATATGAATATTTCATTTTTCATTTTTTATTACTTGTTTGTATCTTTACCTATCGTGCAGTTGTCCGATTTTCGATCACGAACGTTGATACTACTTAATTTCGTTTATCCGACATTCTCGTTAATCCGACATAATTATATGCAACCAACGATGTCGGATTAACGGGACTTGACTGTAGCTTCAACTCCGGATTTCACGAACCACATGTACACTGAAACATCAAAACCAGTTCGTTATATCAGGATCTTGATGATCAGGAACCTAATTTGGGTATGAGCAAAATGACGTGAAAAGAGTGAAAAATGAAGCTATGCAACCGAGGCCTGTAAGATCAGGTAAACAAGGGATTGACAGGATGAGCAAAGATCAGCCATATCCAAAACTGAAGCCATGCTATCCCCATTAGACCTGCCCAAGAAATCCAAACGGGGGAGTAATTATTATCTTTATTTTATATTTATTTATTCCAGTAAAATGCCGAGGTGCAGTGCAATCATTGACCTTCACGCCCTGAACCATAATTATGTAATCAACGAATCTCATAATCCATGCTTTTACATGTATGAGTGGGTGAGTTAGTCAGTATTGCTTAATGCGATCTTGCAGCTATTCCCGCTCCGTGATAAAGCAATTTGGGCTTATTAAATCAAGTTAAACTTTTCCATAAATCATATCAGACACCAGACTCACTAGGGACACTAGGACAATGTGGCGTTTTCAACGAGTCCTGTATCAGTTATGTCGTGATTTCGAAGAACTTACTGATTACGCTCCTGGTTCGCGCATTAATCTGAGCACTGTTACTAGTTGCACTGCTGGTTCGCGAGGGTAACATGAGCAGTTTTACTGGTTGCACTGCCGGTTCGCGAGGGTAATCTTTGCAGTTTTACTAGTTGCACACCTGGCGGGAATGTTTTTCATCGAACTATAAACAAACCATCAGGCATTTCCAAATAACCGCATCCGATGGGATACCATCGTTCTCTTTGTCTGTTTGTGTAGTTGGAAAATGTCAATTAAAATACACCCTTAGTAATATCGAAATCTTCATAGATCACGGTTTACAAATTAGTGTTTAGAAATGCGTATAGATATTTTGCCTCAGAGTTTTCTACCGTTGTCCCCCACATACGGTAGCCTAGTCTTGTGTCACACTCAGTTCCGTCCGCTAGCAAGTCCACTCACCACAAATGATGAGTCCTTGCGGACTGTGTTAGACAGCAGGTTAGAAGCCTCAGCATTGTGCCCCTATAAGTATATCCCACTGTTCCGTGGACAACTAAATTTAGATCCTAATTATGTTTAGATTTTAAACGCAGTGTTAAGCAAGTTCAGGATATAACCGTATATATACCTCTAAACATGCAATGGGGATGTTGTTGGGATACAGTGGTGGTAGGGGTTGAATGTATGGGTGTGAATCTGCAATGTAATATGAAATTACTGTTTTGTCAAGTTTGATTTGTTTTAGGAATTGTAATCAATCACAACAAGCAACATCTAACAAAGTTAGCCATCACTGACAGTTTCCACAGAGAGTATAAAACGCTTGTTATTAGCAACAGCTTTATTGACTTTCCCCATTACAGGTGAATGTGGGTCCTCCTTATGTACACTTGACGTCCTCTGGCTTCAGTTCATCCACCTCGGCACACTGGACTCGGTCAACGGGGTTCTCCCTGTTTTTTGGGTCACTGCAGTAGTCGTTCTTGAAACGCTGTAGACAAGGGGAGAGTGAGTGAGTGAAATGGGGATCTTGTGCTATTTGGGTGGTATATCAGATGTCATATCACAACGATTTTAATGTGTAAGACATCTGAAGTGGCAGGCTGTTGACGTTTTAACACACTATTAGGAGTTTGCCGCTGACTGTGATTCGAACCCCCGACTAACAGGAGCGCCCCTTCGAGCTATCAGGAGGAAACCAATGTCTAAGTGTTGACGTTTGTGTATTTCTTTAAAAACGATTGATTATCCACTATTTTCAAATAGCGTCAACTCCTGATTTACAACTACAATGAACCTCAATACCAGTTCGTTATTTCAGCAGGTTAACCTCGATATGAACAAAACGATGTTTACTATTCTTTAAAGATAATAACTTGTTACACATTTATTCGTGATATCGAACTTCGTCATATCCGGACATGACAGTTTAATTACTTACATTGGATTCAATCACAACGAAGTCAGCAATGGGCAAACGGGTTTGGTAAACAAGGGGGTGACAGGATGAACAGTGATCATCCAGGTCCCAAGTTGAAGCCACGCTATCCTCATTGGACATCATGCATATGCTGTATTTTGCCCTGGATTCCACCCGGGGTAGTGAAAACGGTTAACTTATGTCGCTGTCATTTTATCAGGGAATGAGTGAGTGAGTGTAATGCGAAAATATTCCAGTAATATGACGACGTGGAATGAAATAATTAACCTGAACACCCTGAACCCATAATTATGTAATCAATAAATATCATTATCCATGCTTTTACATGTAATGTATCCGCGGCTGAGTGAGTCATTATTGCTTAATGCGACCTTGCAGCAATTCGCACACAGTAATATAGTAGGTTTGGCACATTGAGTATAATATGAGTAATATTCCTTATCGCCAGAATGTCTTGTTTATAAGTATTAGCACACATTCAGCCATCTTCATTATTAATCATCGCGGATGTCGTGATTCTAATTCAAGTGACGATGACTGTGGGATAGCGTGGAGTTTTTATTGTGTCCTCTATCAGTTTATGTCGTGATTTGGAAGCTTAAACAACGAGCCACTACACATCTTGAAAATGTATCTCACTCATTGGTTAACTTGGTTGCGGTCGAAGCGGTTGAACATAAATCGGGAGTGCTGCTCGGAATAGCTATACCTACACGTCCACTTGGTCACTAATTCCCATTGTTGTATGGCGCAAAGGATAAATTACAGAATATATTTTGTTTTCACAAATACCGGTATGACACATTTGTTTGGTTCTTTGAGTTTTCAACATCATCACCTTCTGAAGAATACCCACGTTGTCGGAACATGGCTTGCCACATACATGCAGGAAACATACAAACTCTTTACTGTTAGCTTGTGATTGCCAAAAATTACTAACAAGGATATATGCATTCCAAGACATAAGAAAATGTGATCATATACACCTTATGGTGTTATTTGGATGAGGGTCTAATTATTTTTAAAATTAGAACGCAAACTGCCTCACAATTGAGTTAAAATTCCAGTGATCCAGAACGTGTCCTTACTACACACCATGTCGTTTATGTACTCTTCCATATAAGAAACACAAAGCCAGATTTGTGTGAGGTGGAAAAATGAGATCCGTGCTGTATGCGGTCGAGCGTTGTCCTGCTGGAGTACACCGTTGCCGTTGGCTTCAATTGGGAGGACGTGTGGTAGGAGAATTTCGTTAATGTAACGTTGAGCCGTAACACTGGCCTGGATATGGAACAAACCTGTACTGCCATGACGAGAGATAGCCGCACACATCATAACGCGACCGCCATCAAACCTGTCCGCAGTTTCCGGCGTAACGTTCTCCCTGACGTCTGTAGATCCGTGATCTTCCAACCCCTCGACGGAGGAGAAATCTTGATTCGTCGCTGAACCAGACATCTCTCTATCGCAATTGAGGCAAACTCTGTGTTGGGATGCGGTTGAGGTGGCTGTGGTCGACCCTTCACGTAGGTGGCGCAGTCGGATGAAGCGATCTTGGGCGGGGGTGGTTACTCTTGGTGGTCCCGACCGTGGTCGATCCCGTGTTGACCAATGCTGTTGAAACCAATCCCATAGCCTTGTGATGAAGCTGGGGGCTACATTGAAAACCCTGACAGCTGATCGGGATTCCCATGCATGCATGCGGCCTATGACGTTGTTTCTTTGCAATTCTGTTAATCTTGGCATGTTGTTGAACTGTCACTGTTCGATTGACAATCAAAACACCTGCACTTTAATACCGTTCATAGTGCTGCTTCACGTGCCGTGCGTGCAGCTCCATGGCCGTTTTGTTAATTCACTGAGTGCGTCTTTTCGAATCGTACGTGTTTCCCGACTAATGGTTTGCATGCCCTAGTTGTGATCATTCTGATCCGGGAAATTTGTCACTGACACTATAACACATCAAACCTCTTCATTCTTCTTCTTGGTCCGCTAAGTTGGTTTTATTGCCAAACATATCCGTTTTGCGGTTCTTATTTGAAGAGTATATGATAACAGTTACTTGTGCCTTTAATATTCTGGGGGTTGGAGGTCTTTGAGCTATGTGCCTTGAGCTGTTTAATTTGGGCTGTGGGCTTGGAATTTAATTATAAACGGAATATTGTTTGTGCAGTCAATGCTTCAAGACATTTTGTTTCTCTGAAAGGACTATCCAAGTTGTATATCTGAAGTATTTTCATGAACACACCAGCAGCAAAGAGATTTCACATGACCTGTCCGTCAACAACGCTCACAGTCGTTGTTCAGCACAGAAGCACAGAAATTCCCCACCATCGTCTCAGTAGGGTTACATTTACATTTGTAAAAACGAACGGAATTGCGTCTCGTATAGAGCCTCACTTTGATTGACAGGTTGATTTCGCTGACGGTTCAACGGGTTTGCTCCAAGATACATACACACCCAGGAAAGTGGTGTAGTTGCTCGGTAGAAGTGTCGAGAGCGAAGGTAAGCTGTTTTATTAACGATAGTTGACATGTAGCTGGCTATACCTCGAGGTGAAACTTTGTTAAGTATTATTGAACATAAATATCCGGATCAGTATGAGCTATACAGAACCCCAAATTTTATTGTCATGTGGTTGATTTTTTATACTGTTTAATAACAATATGGTGCATACGAATGTTTTAAGACCTCTCTGCGCAAAATTTGTGTACTGATGTTAGTATGTATGTTACTCATCACCATAGTTAAGTTAATGTATTAAAATCATCGTTTAACATCGAAAGAAATAATATTATATAATTTTAAAAATTATTCAATAGATATTTCCGTGTGTTTGGTGGTAGAATTAATATATACATGTATTTGTGTTCCCTACATTGTCTCGTTGTGCCGCCCAATAAGAATTCTTTTGGAGTAAATATCTAACCATGCACACAGATGATGTACAGAGCGTTGTTGTGTCTGGCCCTGTTCGTGGGTTCTGCATCAGCCTGGGGAAGCTGGTTCAGCAAGAACAAGAACACAGAATGCGGTTCCTTCCGAAACAAAAGGATGGGCTGGTGGGTACTACACACAGAGTACTTTAATCTTCAAATCTCGACCTGCGTTGAAGTAGGTGTACATTAATAATTACTATAGCTGTTAGGCACTCCGCTGCCTTTATTGGTATTTCGGCGTGTCAGCGTGAGGTGGGAGGAAGAAACGTATAAATGCACCTGTTAGACGTTTTCGACGTATGAGAAACCCGCGAGCACTGGTATGGTGCCGTCAAACCAAGAGTGATCATTAGAGGATTCTAACCGACGGTCACAAAATATTGAACACAAATCTATATCTTAGACAACTGAGCCACGCGTGCACTGATCTCGTGGTGATGCAATTGCGCATTTATGACGTCAAATTAGAATTAAATTAAACGCGGCCTAGCTTTGGCGAATTTGTTTTGACGTTTTTGGCGGTGGTTATCTAAATATATACAAGATGGGCAAAGTTTTTGTTTCTTAGCTGTGCCAGGATACGATGGTTATGATCAGATTATGATCCTTGGTTTGGCATCACTATACCCGTGCTCGTTAGATTCAGCAAAGGAGTTTCGCCTACGACCTGCGTCACCTTGGGTGTTCCTCTGACGGTCATCTGAATATATAATTAGAATACTCTCCAAAACGGCTTATGCTCCCTGTGTTTTGTTCAGGTGAACAATTGACTTGCCTTTGCATGTATTTGTGACGGATGCCACCGTTGGGGTAGGATACGCTCACCTTTTCGCGAACACATTGTACCATTTCTATATGATAGTGATTTATAAACACATGCTAATGGTGTGGTCAGAAACGTGCAATGTCGTATTTATATACACCCATTATGTCACGAGCGCTTGGAGAACTTGGTTAGCAAGACTAGAACTATATTACTGAGCAATTTAAATTAAAGAATATGGACTAGACAAGCCAGTGGATGATAACATGGACATTATTATGATCACTGCATTCGGGTTATGTCAACAGACAATATGTCACTTCCAAAATTGTAACCACTTGATGCTCGCCTGTGTCGCCTCTGACGACGAGCATGGGCTTCTGGGTGTCTTGGGGTCTCCACGTTGGCAGATCAGAGATGCAATACCCGCAATATCCACAAGTCATTGAGAGGGTTATTTGTTGGACAGAGTGGCAATATCCAGAAACGTTGCGTTTTAGATGAGAAAAATGGTTTTGTCTGACATAAGACTTTTTTTGCATCAAGTCGATTTTCTTGTATAGTTTGTAGCTTTGTTCTTTGCTCTGTCGGGTGGTTTCTTGTGCGAAGGAAATAAAAATAATTAACAATGACTCTGACGCCATGTTTCTGTATCCTCACAGGTTCTTTACCAAGTCCATGACTGATGTTGACACCCGTCAACTTCTGGATGACCTCAAAGCTTTCGACACCAACAAAGATGGCTACATCACACTCGCCGAAATGAACAACCCTACTCTCGCATCCACCTTCGACAGTTCCATTGACCGTAAGTAATTGTTTTATTATTGATACAAAAGTTATTCTTCACAATCAAATTGGTTTGACGTATAAGTCAACTGCCATTTTTCGCTGTGCAGTGTTGCGCCCCTTTCTGTTGAAGGATCCGTCGATCGTGGATTTACATTTCGTGTTAACTCCGATAATGAGTCAGTAATATATCCGTTGGACCTGCAGGACATAAGTGTTACACGCGGTGATATGAAATGATGATTAAAACCGAATTAAAACCCCAACTCACTCACTCACCTACACCGCCACAGTTAGGTGCAAGAGACGTACGTATTCCTCCGTGCAGCATGAACATGTATATAGTACCGAGTTACCACTTCGTCAACATCTTTCTGTTTAAGATGTCATAATATATCCATATGCTGATGTCATAGAATATAGAACAGACAATATCACAGTCAGAATAACCCCAAATCACAGTTTTCTATTTATGTATGGTATTGCCAATGTGACAATAAATTATATCACGTTACCTGTATACGATTAAAATACATTGTGGACCTGAGTGGTCCTGTATTCACAGCGGGGGCATCGTCGTAATGATGAAAACGAAGCGTCGATGTTCGCCATACATTCGAAACTGCCCCAAATCATTAATAACCTCCTGTCTGGACGATTTCTGTGAATGATTTACCTTCGTTCTTTCATTTCAGTTAATTTAGGATATATTTATTATTGAAATTGTTAGCATTTGTTCAATGTGGTAATTGCAAAAACATTTGTCGGCAGATTTGTGATGAAAATGCCCCCAGGTTAATGTATGAGCGAGTATTGGGACGTAGTCAGGAGTGCAAGTGAGTCAGAACAAGAAATGACCAAAAACAGTTGGTCGGGTTTGTTGGTAGCAAATAATAAAAGTGTACAAATCTAACAAAATACAAACATAATCAGAGGCGACTTTTTGCACATATAGTTACAAACAATACAAGGATATGTATTTCAGTTGTCTATTTATATTTCTCTTGGGCCAGTGATGTGTATGCGACACTAGTGCTGTTGTCTACTAGGGCTGCAACGATACACCTAGGTCACGATACGATACGTACCTCGATACTTACATCACGATTCGATACGTATCTCGATACGCTACGATACACATAGTGACAAGAGAAGACAAGAGATGAATGAATTAAACTTAGTTTATTAAAAATGAAAAATTAAATGAGAGTGACCGAATGTTCATGAGTCATAAAATATATACTGTAATGAGTATTTTAACTTAATGAATCATCTGCCATTTCCATGTAATGGCTAGCAAACACAAAAGTTACAGTCCTACATATTTGTGAGTTGTGACTAGATGGTAGGAGTAAATACTAAATGTACCAGTGTCCAGTAACTAATGATTTGCCATTTTCATGTATAAAGGCAAAAAAACAATTAAAAATAATTAGATATATAGCAACAGCCATGTTATACACCATTTGAAAGGTCTTATCCTAGTGTTTATAAATATGAAAGTTATGTTTATCACATTATTTAAATAATGCATTGACAACTTAATTAAGTTCGTTGTAAAATATAAAAATATGTAAGTTAACACATTCATAACGTCCAGATTAAGGACCAGGGAAGCGACAATTTGACGATTTTGGGCAAATATAAGTTTCAAAAGATCTAAAGAATTTCATTGTTTACGTAATTGGAAAGTTATTTAAAAAAAAATTATGAATAGTATCTGTTTTCACTCATTTCCAAATAACAGCGGCAGTCCGCTTAGTAACATGAAGAAGTTGTGTTATTCTGAACGTTTTAAGCAGGAAATCGCGATCTGTATTAAAAATATGGAGCTTCGTGGATGTATCATGCTAGGTTACAAGCTGTGACAAAGAGTTTTCATGCATATATTTTGGCATTGAACATCGTGTCCGAGCCGGGAATTCGAGGCGACGAAAGCCGAGATGTCATTTGACTAACATTACACGCGATCGCACGAAAAGATGGAAATAATAACTTAGCTGTAAGTTTGACCACTTTTAGATATATTTTTGTTGATTTTATTTACCACTTTGTATAATTATTTAGTTAAAGATTTGCTTGAAACGTCTTTGTTATGCTCTTTGACATGTTCGATGTGCACCCGTTGTCGAAGTGTGTGTCCGAGAATTATATCTTCAATAACATAAGCGGGAAATAGTGAATAACTTTTTAAGCTATCGATAAAAAATGATAAATGGAAATAAAATACGTATTTCAGACATTGTGAGATGTGATAGATTTAATAAATGAATGGTATGACAGGTAGGTCGATAAATATATATACTATTTTGGCGTGACTAAGGCTTGGCCGGTTAACCGGCCTACGGTGCCTGGGGACTCGATGCTTCTTGGCCGGTCTACCGGCCTACAGTGTTGAAAAAAAGTTAAAACACATTTGAAACGTATCTGTGATGAAAGTTTATTTACAAAAAAAAGACGTACGTAAATACATACTTCTTTGAAAAAACGTATCGTGAAAAATCGAGATACAGCACCTCACAAATCGCACACCGTATCGTATGGAGTGAATCGCGATGCATCGGTGTCCCGGGATATCGTTTTAGCCCTATTGTCTACCTGAAGAAAAGGTGTCTAACCCTGACGTTGTTAATACTTGAGTGGATTGTTGCGCCTACATTTCGTAGTTTTTGTCTTGAGTAGTTAACGCTTTTGTTGATCGTAGTACCAACAGTTCGAATGTTTTTGTCTCATATGGTTAACCCTTGGGTCGATCGTTGCACCTGCGTTTAAAATGTTCTTGTCTTGTGCAGTTTCTGCTGGAATCGATCGTTGCACCTTCGTGACGTTTGAGAAGAAGCGATATGGCATCAGTTTGGGGGTCGCAGGCCGCCTCTTCGACTTGGAAGACACTAACAATGACCTCAGGATCAGCACTGCAGACCAGAACGAGGCTACCTTCAACTTGCTTGATAAGGATGGTCGGTAGAGAATCAAAGATACAAGATACCTTAGATTTTGTTGGACAAGATAAACACATAGATATTCACCCTCTACATTATGACATATTGTTTAAGAAGAACGGAGTCGCCCAATGCATCCTTTAGACGTGCAATATTTCAATGATCGTGGGTTCGAATTGTTGTGATTCTTGGTTTGTAAGCTCCTGGATTTCACCCAACTGTTAAATGTCAAAGGTCTCCATCACTTTGGGATTTCCTCTAATATCGAGCTGGTGTAACTGAAATACTGTTTAATACGGTGTTAAAACTCACACATACAGATTTTCATATTGTTTCTTTTTATCTATTCGTTTTTGAATTATTTTTATTAAATGTTGCACATAGCCTCTCTTTGAGTAGCTGTTCATAATCAAAACAAGCGTCAACAATTTTTTAACTTGGGGCATAAGCCATGTTTTACATGCAAGATAAGTGTGAAGTCAGCAGACAATGACTTGTTTATTGTCCGCAGGTGATGCCCGCGTGTCTGTGTGTGAAGGTTTCCTGGGCTTCATGGCTGTGCTGGAAGACTTGGAACACAAGGTCTACGTTGCAGAGGTATTCCATGACGCGTCGGCAATAATCAACTTTGTTGCGAAAACGTTGCTGTGTACTGATCCGCTTGTACTATCCCCAAATCAGCGATCACTTATACAAATCTAGGACTCACGTCTGTATTAGGTTCCACGAAAGTCCTTTGCTGATCTCCGTCCGTAAATTCGTGAATGTCACGGAAACGTTGATGTCCCTTTGTTTCGGAAGCATCAGTTACAAAGAACAATGAACCTGTAACCAACTCGGCCGTTGTGTCTAAAAACTGGAAAACACTATAAAGGAAAAAGATTGGCCCGATGAAAGGCAAATGTATACACATTCCCACGATTTTATGTACATAGAACCCTGAAACTTCTTATTCTTCAAGAAACAAAAAATCACAACCTTACAAATCTTATCTCAGTATCCATGTGGCCGGAATATTTGTATCAGCATACGGCAGCCGTTACCCTACGTGTGGTGGCAAATCATCTTTGGATTTACTTGTAAATGTTAACGTTCATGCTCAAGATGGCATTAGCAGCGAAAGAAGTTCTTCCAAAGTTCATTGGTTGAGGCGCAAGTGTTTCTTCTGGGTGTCCTGTGGGAATATATAGATACATTATAGAGTAATGTAATTTGAGATTAACATGTGCACATGAAAAACACAAAAAGTTGATACGCCAGGAAAACCTCAGTATGAGTGATTCATTAAATCATTAACGAAAACAAGTGTCAGTGGATTTTGTAAAATGAAAGCTCACTTTTTGTCTTTGTCCTCAGCTGAAGTATACGGACATCGTCTACAAGTTCAGGAAGTCTTCAAGCATGTGGTCCTGGGGCTGGTCCTCCTAAACAAAGGCGGCGATGGTCACGTGACCGAAAGGACGATAAACGTAAAGCTTTGTTAATAAAATGATACACACTCTGGTCTGTTGTTTGGTCAAGACATATTGCCTGGATGGATATTTAATGGGAACTGGTGACGCAAGGGCGTCCTGAAAGATTCAGGTCTTCAAAGGCTCCGCAATTCACTGTGCGGAGTTGTGCCTCTTATGCATGCCAGGATCCTTTGATGGTGGGTTCGAAACCCAGATTTGCCCCGATTCTTGGTTTAGCAACGGCATAACCGTGCTCGTGACCTTCATGGAATTGGTAATTAGACCTGCATCATTTCAGGCTTCCTCATACACGTCCTCAGCTGAAACGTCATTCGTGCACTGTTCTGTACATAAAGACTAAAAACACTAATCGTAAAATAGCTACTTTCGCATTACATCTCAACAAGGTGATAAACAAAATATTTGCAACTCAGTGGATCACCTGAAAGTTTCAGGAAGTATGATCCCCGCAATGTTATTTGTGTTGGAAATGGTCCCTACATTTAACACACTTCAATTAGATGATCGTCACAATAAAAGTTCTTACACTCACACAAATATGTTACGTGAGATACATTTACGTCGCATTAGCATTATTTCAGCCATATTGCGAGTAACACAAAACACAAGGGCGGTGGGCTAACATAGATATTGGGGTTAAAACGTCAAAGATTCCGGTTCGATTTCCGACATGGATACACTGCACGAAGCCCATTGCCGGTGTCCGCGATATTGCTGGAATATTGCTAAATGCTGCGTAAAACTTAACTCACTCACTCAACCTCAACTCAGGGGGTGTTCTTGTTATCCGCAAAAATCGATATAAGTTAAAACAAAAGGGTAAAGGATGTGCAGGGTTTCTCACATAATAAGGCATACATTCGATTAATTTGAGTACAAAGTGAAATGTCTCAATTGCCATGATCATGATGTCAATCACTGGATTTTCTGGTCCAAACTCGAATATTTACACACCGCCGTCATTTAGCTGAAATAAAGCCGAGTGTGGTGTTAAACATAAGCCGAATTTCATGTATGGTTGAGTGGAATAGCACGTGGATGGATCGAATAATAGGTTGGAGGAACCGAATATCACGTAGATAGGTCGAATAATAGGTTGGAGGAACCGAATATCACGTAGATAGGTCGAATAATATCAAGTCGGAAGAACCGAAAAGCTGGAATATTTCTGAGAGCGGTGTTAAACATCAAATAAACAAAACAAACAAACAAAGTAACTGAAATAGTCATTTTTTCTCTCCAGAACAGGTGTAAAGTTGATGTTTTACCTGCCTTTGATTACGGGTCCACGTGACTGCCTCAAATGAATGAACACATACTTGACAGTATGAATAAGAATAAGGTACATCCTTGGCCTTAGGTATTGTTGCCAAGCAATATGCTGAAACAGCAAACATTCACAACAGGTTGTAACCCACGTTATGATGTGAGTTTAAACCTGCGGGTATTTTTCAACCATTATATCACGGCAGCATATTATGGGAGGAATGCCCGAAGTAATGTCGGTTGTAGATGACTGTTTACCAATTTGATGAAACCAACTAGCACGACCAACTGACAAACCAAGGGTCATAATCTAGGACTAGAACCTAAGTTACTAGGTCCTGGCACATTTTTTTGAGCATATGAAATGCTTGCAATTCGAGTGTACAGTCCAATATATTCACGATTTAAAACATCGATTTTATTATATACAGTGAAATCCTTTTAAGTGGAAAATGAAAACACCTGGAAAAATATCCAATTAACATTTTTTCCTGTTAGCCAACTACGACTTGCGTGCCATTATTGAATCGTCTACAACATCTTTATGCATTGTTACACACACGATCATTGATATGAGACACACATGGTAACTAAACAAAGTCATGAGGTTTACAATTTCTATTTCATGCTTAAAGTTAATGACACAAGTCAACCAATGACAAATTGCAACTTAGAATGTCACTCGAAACATTTAGCCATTACGGACTGTATTGCCTGCACTCAGTGTTCAAAGTCTTTGTCTGAGAGTCCCATTGACACGCTAGGTCCTTCCCGGGATTGAACAGTCATGTTGCCTGAATCGCCCGATGATGACTCTTACCCCCACAATGTATAGCTAATCCTAAATAAACATTAAGTAAGGTTTATTATCTCTTCTCCAGAACACAACGTTGTTTATTATCTCGTTATGCTCAAACACGATGTAATATAAGCATCATCAGTGTTGTCATCATGTTAAATGTTGGTCAACACTCAGAGCCCGTACCAATCCATCAAGTCACGTTCCAACTTGAAGTGAAATGGCTTCACTTTAGTACACGTGTTGGCATCGTCTTGAGTGTCCATCAAAGCACGCTCGAACTTACACGACCTGAGCCAAAAATAACCGAATAACACAACCCAGATACAATCACGGCTGCCCTGTTAAAGTGCTGCATCATTATAATGACACTGGGCCTGTCCTATATTTTGACAGCGTACCCACCCCTATGTGTTGAAGGGTACATGTTTGCTTTCACGCTGAGAACATTTATCATCTGGGCGACACGAACTGGAACGATGTTTGCCGACTGAATTTGATTGTGCCACTCTTTGAAAAGGCATCTTTAATGTTTCGTCCCTATCTAGCCTATTTTCTCAAGAACTGGAAACTGTATGCTCCATCTGAAATCCAGACATCTTCGCATAGACACGTTATATCTGTATTACCTTGTCGTCACCTGAATACCGACACAGGTACTATCATCAGGCCAATATTCTCAGGGATTCCTGGGCAGAATCAATATTCAACGCCTCATGTTTGTCATAAAATTTGGTGGAAATGAGGATCCGGTATTTTCGATGTGTCATTGGCACACTTGTGTGTCATCGTATCACTACGACTGTAACAGTTGCTCCTACTATCATCACTGGAATATCACTGCTCACACAAAAGACGTAATGGTGAGGAAGCCACTGAATCTTACCGACAGTAATTCAGAATTGGTTGAACTGCTAATTAAAACATACTCACACACAGTACCTATGTGTGTCTAAATTCTATACAGGTTTACAACGTACGTTCCTCGTCCCGAAATTTGGACGTGCTTCGATGGTGATATCCCAAACATGTTTAGAATTGTGTAAAGATATAAACATGTTTTCCTTCTAACCTCTAGGCTACCCCACCGCCCCTCAGTCACCACAAGCAGTATCTAACAAAGTAACATACACCTGGCGATGATAGCCAGCACTGACAGTTTCCACAGAGAGTACAAAACGCTTGTTATTAGCAACAGCTTTATTGACTTTCCCCATTACAGGTGAATGTGGGTCCTCCTTATGTACACTTGATGTCCTCTGGCTTCAGTTCATCCACCTCGGCACACTGGACTCGGTCAACGGGGTTCTCCCTGTTTTTTGGGTCACCGCAGTAGTCGTTCTTGAAACGCTGTAGACAGGGGGAGAGTGAGTAAGTGTAAATGTAAATCCGGCGTTATTTGGGTAGTATTTCGTGTCAGTCACTTCGGTCAGTGTTTAATGTGTGATAAAGTCTGAGAAGATAAGGCTACAGACGTTTAATCGGGGATTACCGGGTACACAACAATGGGCTTTCTGAAATGAAGGGAACCGAAGTGTCGAGTGAAACGTTTTAGCTGCTGGTATATGGGCACATGAAAATGTATACTGATATGAATATAAATATTCACCCAGTAACATTATGAAAATTCATTTTCAATTATTCTGATATTGGAAAGTGGTGTCATGTGTACGCAGAACCGAGAATTGTTGTTAAGAAAAACAAATGCGTTGTCTGTGTCTGTGTCTTGGGAGGTGGTTAGGGGAGGGTAGGGTAAGGGAGGGTAGGGTAAGGGAGGGTAGGGTAAGGGAGGGTAGGGGAGGGTATGGGAAGGGGTTCAAAGCTACCGATGGCTATGAAACCTGTGCCTGACTGGTGTACGTTAAAAAGCGATAGATATCAAGTATTCATCCATTTCCTAACTACAGCCAACTCTGGATTTAACGTACAAAGATTTTTTCAAGACCAGTTCGTTATAAGTATAGCTTAATTTGTATTTGAACAACATAATGGTTACCGCCGTTTGAAAACGATAACTCTATTCGTCAGATATCGACCTTCTTTATAACCGGATATGACTGTATTTACTTACAGTGTACTGCAGTGATAAAAAGTCGTCATTGGCGAAAGCTGAAAAAAAAGATAAATAGTAAGTGAATGCTGCTGAATAACGGTAATAATTTCTGGTAAATAGGGGATTAACACTATGAACACTTTGGACAAATGATCAGACAGGTCCCAAATTGTTTCCAGCTGAGCCTCATTAACGGTTGTTACGACATACATGATGTTTCAGTCGCGTGCTGATAAAAACTGATAAAAACGGGACACGAGTTATATTATCAGTGAGCGAGTCAGCTGAATCTGACAGACAATGACTGCAACACACTCAACTTATATGAGGTTTTTGGCCTTCAGATTCATACCTTTAAAAATGTAATATTGCAGGCTGGGCATTATGAATCAAAATAAACTTTTCCACTAATCATTTCGAGATTCACTAGAATACTGGGATGTTTTGAATGTGTCCTGTATGGGTTTAGACTGCCATTCCGACGCTGAAGACTTGGACATTGTCACCTATTCTCCATAGGGATATTACTGAAATGCATCCACGATTCATTTATTCTTTAAACTTTACACCAATTGTCGTATGTTTAAACCACCAGCCAATGGGCACACATCTTACCAAATGATCCACCGAAATCATCTCTGGTTATGGCGCCGTCTTGGTTGCGGTCGAAGCGGTTTAACATGAAGCGGGCGTACTGCTCGGAGAAGCCATACCGACACGTCCACCTCGTCACGACCTCCCACGTCTCGCTAGTGCAGCGGTCATCTGCAGGATAATTTTAAAGATGCAATGTTGTTCACAAATATCGCATGCAATAGATGTTTGGTTCTTCGGGTTGTCCTTATCATCATGAACGTCATCGTAATCATCACCAATACTCATATCCTGAAGATTATCAAGTGCCTGAAACATGACTGTTCTTATACATTCAGTGCATTTACAGAGCTCTGGGTCCAAAATAAAGTACGCCAAGACTTGGAGAGACGATTGAAACAAAGTGAAAGGTAAGACAAATATATTTTATGAGAGTTGAGTTTCAAGATCTTGTGAATGAAATGTCACTCCATAGAAGCTGTACGAGTGAGAAAGGCACAAAGATACAGGGGGTCAAATGAGATCATTCACACTGTCATTTTCAAAACACAAGTGTAATAAAATATGTTTAATATTGTCCACCCCGTGCATCAATGAAGGCCCCAACACGTCGCCGCACCGATGACGTGAAACGTCTGATGACGTTATAGCGGCAATCATTTGCCATGACATCGCTCCAGCTCGTGACTGGTGACTGGTAGTACTGGTCGCCTTCTGACTTGCCTGTCAAGATGACCACACAAATATATGATAGGGTTCATGTCACGAGAACATGCAGGCCACGGCTAAACATTGACGTTCATGTTGTCGAGGAAGTCCGGTGCCATCCTTACAGTATAGGAAGCACTATACAGCGTGGCTGTTGCTGGATAAATTGCAGCACATGGTGTCGTAAAGCATCCCCCCGATACCACTGAGTAATAATGTTGCCTAGAATGAGCTCGTCTCCGAGTTTCTGCAGGGTCCTCCCTACACCATGACACCACCGCCTCCGAATGACTGGACTTTCTAGACACATTTAGATGCTAGGCGCTCGCCTTGACGTCTGTACAAACGCTGCCATCAACTCGAAAAAGGCAAAGCATGCTCTTATCAGAGAAGAGTCAGTCTCGAACCTGCAAACGCCAAACATGTGGCGTCAACGTCGTGCCATGTCCCCTCAATAGCTGTGTCTGTCGACTGAAACGATCGATATACCAGTACCCTCGATGCCGTTGCTGTCGCGGGGATGAGGCGTTTTCGGATATATGGGCGTGGTCACACGGGGTCTGTCAGTTTTAGGCCAGTAGGTTGTCTGACCTATCGGCCGTAAACGTCACATCAACCTATTATTTCAAGACGGGTAAAACCAAATGTTCTTCCGATGTGGGCATGCGTGGTTTCCTCCTGGGCCACACCAACGGCTCTCTAGATTTCTGTTACGAGAGGCATATATGTTGTGCGCGTTGGTTTACTGTGTTCCGAAGGTGTGCTGTCAGCAGCTTTTTATACCAATTTTGTACATGCATTTCGTTCTACGAGTGCAGACGTCGTTTTTGCAAAATGCACGTGTTTCATGAAAATTCAACCTTTCTCCCGCCTCATTTCATCGAATACACTTGGTTGTATTTGCGCGACATCTATACGATTTCATTCCTATGTCTTACTTTTGACATTTTGGTGTACTTTCTTTTGGACGTCTGTTCACATTCATCTAGACCTCTGCCGTGGTCTAGTGGTAGAGCGTCCGCACCGAGAGCGGAGGGTTGGATGTTCGATCCCTGGCCGCGTCATACCAAAAGACGTTACAAGATGGTACTTGTTTTTACCCAACCTGGTGCTCGACATTAAGGGGCTAACAAGGAATAGGTACACTGTGCCTGAGTTGGATAGTCATGTTAAACTGTGGTATGGTATCTCAGTGGGCTGGCACTATAAAATCGGCATCAGTCCCGATTAGTACAAGCAGCCGCAAACACACACACACACACGTGCATGCACCTCACAAAATAAATGCAATAATCTTAGATGCGACGTTAAACCCCATTTCACTTCATATCCATCTATAATAATTATATCTAACCTTTGATATTCCACCAGTTTCTAAAAAATTAACATATGTCAAGAGACACTCTTTACAACGCAAGATCTTTCTGAATTGAAAAACATAAAATCGGACTCCATTATTCACCTTTGACAACAGATCCGGAAAAAAATATTTCATCAAATCGTTTCATATGTACATGTATACTCAAAGGTGAAGGAAACTGTTGTCTCATTCCCTTTCATGAGGGTTTTTGCTGAAAATTTCAAATCTTGTTCAGCAAATCTTAAAGCTCTATAAACTAGACATTGTTCTCTCCATTAAAGATGTTCAGCTTAAGGAAAAACATTTGTTAGGTTTGACATTCTTTTTAAGCCCATGTTATAGTTTAATAACATCAAAGGGGGCGGTCGGGTAGCCTAGTGGTTAAAGCGTTCGCTCGTCACGCCGAAGACCCGGGTTCGATTCCCGACATGGGTACAATGTGTGAAGCCCATTTGTGGTGTCCCCCGCCGTGATATTGCTGGAATATTGCTAAAAGCGGCGTAAAACCATACTCACTCACTAATAATATCAAAAGTTCAAATGTTCGTTTTCCTGAGGGCGCTTACCTCACCCTGTCCTTATATTCGGGATTTTCACAGTTATTTTTCTGAGCATAATTATTTACAAAAAATACAAATTCCAACCCTCCTTCCACGTTATCAAACTGTTTGTGCTTAGACAGAACTTACCGTCGTAGTTGTAAAACAGTAAATCTAAGTCGAGGTCTTTGTTGTCCACTTTGCCGTCACCGTCGACGTCGTTGTCCAGCAAAGCAGCACAGAACTTCCCCACCAGCTTTTGGGGAGGGTTGCAGTTGTTAAACAGGTTAAACCAGTACCTTCAAGAAACAGTGCGCCAGTGAGTAAACGAAGGGAAATGGTTGGGGTTGGTATAAATTTATGTCCCTTTTGTAATCTTGGAAAAGGAGATGAATATCATTTTACTCTAATATGTAATTTCCATAAGAACATAAGACACGTCTATCTGCCTAAAACGTATTGTTAGAATCCGAATATGTATAAATATAGAACGCTTATGCTTGGAACAATGTATAGTGACTAATAAACAATGTAAATATCTATATCAATGTTATGATATGAGACAAAGATTTGCAATAATATGATGGTCAGTTACAGTATGAATGTATGGACCGTTGTAATAGACAGATGTGCACTTTCTCTGTGTACAGTGGCCTCATACGAACAAACACTTGACTTTACGGTGGCCTTGATCAGGTAATCCAGTGGTTCATATTATGAGTAACGATTAACGCCTTCGAGGTACCATGACACCAATCAACCGAGTCACAGAGCCTGCCCACCCGATCTCGTACGGCCAGCATACGTAGCTGGAGACCTCATCTCACCTGAATCCCCACGGGGTGTTTGGTATTGTGAGATAAAACTGTATCAATAGGGGGAAGTAAGATGAGAACTTACTAAGAATATTTAATAAAAACAGATTTTACGGTTTTGGTGAAATTCGTGATATACCTGGAGAAACCACAGGTCCCACAGAAGAGGAGGGCAAACACGGTCAGTCGGAGGGCAAGCATTCTGCGAACAAACAAGATTGAATGATTATTATGATTATTTTTTTCTATTTGATATTGTCACTTATATAAGAGGGAATGCAAACGTCAATTACTTCTCATACATTTCATACACTGACTGTATCAACAGCGCTGTAGTAGTACTCTGTGGTAGTACAAACTGTACTAGTACTTTGGAAAATATCCCATCTCAATCACGAAATACGTATAATAACCCTTAGACAAATCTGTATTCGTTATAACTTATCCTATTTAAACTAAATCTATTTAGGTAGTTTGATCAACATATTACTGTGTCATAATGATTGTTTATGGGTAAAAATACAATAACAGCACAAACAGTTCTAGAGTTACTTCAGTAATACATAATCAGCGAACTGTGGGGGGGATGTTCTTCATCTGTACTGATGAATAGAAATCAAATATACAATTATAGGAAGCTACGAAAACGTACGAACCTGTCTGAATGCACTGGAGAACGACTTGAGCTTTGGCCAGATCCCTTTTCGAATGTTAAACCTGAATGATAGCTCCGCCCCAGGTAGAGGCGGTGCAAGGAGCTTTGACAGGTGAGGGTGCAGAGGAGGGGTATCCAAATTTTGCAAACTGCTTTTTAAAATCGCCTCTCTATCGCTTGTTTATAGTTAGAATAACGGACGGGTAAAGTTTACGTGAACCCAGCAATGCACTCAGCAAATGCGTGTCACGACCTGTTACATCCCTGACTCAACTCATTCGCTTTACTCTGTATCAATTTGGGTCGGCCGTGGGCGGTTTTATAGTGCTAGCCCACTGAGATACTGTGCAGCAGTTTAACATGAATAGTATACTGACTACGAGCCGACCAGACCTTGTCTTGGCCCTCAATGCCCAGGAAGGGTAACAACAAGTACCATATTATGACGTCTTTTGTTATGACGAGGCTAGGGGTCGAACTAGGTTACGCTCTATCCACTAGACCACAAAGGCGGCCCCCATGGGTACTGAACTGAGTGCTTCGGCTCACATAGGTTGTCCGCAGCATCACCATGAACATCGTCAAGACTTCACGGATATGTATACAACGCGATCCTCCATCACCAATGTAGTCACTATATGTTTAACCAACGGCAATATTTCTCGTGCAACATATGCATCACCATGATTTTACACAGTATTATATCCTTAATCTACTAAATTAGGCACGTGTCACTATTACACAGCACATCGGTCGTGCGTATCCACTGATGACGGACGAATCTAGTGTATACAACAAGCCCGTGAAGTACCATGACATTCATACAGTATTCTGCAACGGACGGAACACACGATGGTACGATGGTAGCGTAATGCTATCAATATTGGAAGATCATTTATTTACTTGACATATGTCAGTCTAATCAAGTAACACGTTCCCGCCGAACCACTGACAGTCTCCCAAGGGAGTAGAAAACACGTGTTATTAGCAGCAGCTTTCTTGGCGTTTCTACATTACAGGTGAATGTAAACCCTCTTATGTACATTTGACGTCCTCTGCCTTCGGTTCATCTACCTCGGCACACTGGACTCGGTCAACGGGGTTCTCCCTGTTTTTCGGTTTCTTGAAACCCCCTGTAGACATCAATAGAAGTGAGTATGTGAGTGTATTTCGCTCACAAGTATTGGCGTCCTGTGCATTGTAGAATATTCAATTGGCTCAGAAACTAGCAGTATTTATACTGAACAACAAAACTTCCTGTGACATTGAATAACATTTAATGCAAAGTTATGTTTTATACCAAATCTGAAACAATTTCGGTTTGCAACAGATAAAAGACTCCGGTAAGTGTTCAAATGGTTTAATTTACCATACTGACTTCAGAGAATGCGTGGTTTCATAAAAATCATGGACATGCCAAAATGTCAATTTACAAATCAATAGCGTGTGTGTCCACCTCTGGTTGCGATGCAAGCAACACATCTTCGTCTCATGGAATGGACCAGGCGTCGTGGGATATCTATCCATACCTGCTGGAGCATGTTTCGAAGTTCCTGGAGTCTGTGGAACATGTGGTTGACGTCGAAGTCGCCGATCCATCTCATCCCACATGTGCTCGATTGGTGAGAGATCAGGGGAGCGAGCTGGCCAGGGGATGACATTCACGTTGTTTTGTTGAAGACAATCCTGAACAAGTCGAGCAATATGAGGCCGGGCGTTGTCATGTTGAAAGGTAATGCCTGGGCCATGACGACGCAAAAACGGTAGAAGGTGGACGTTAAATTGTCTTGCAACATCACGTTGACTCGATCCTGCTTCAAGCATACCAATGGCTCGCAGACGCTCATTTTCGGACAGGCGTGTCATTTCGTAATGTTGAATAATTGCGTAATTTTGTTTTTCTGAGTGGTTGTTGTCATCACGATGCTGAACAATGCACATGGAATCCCGTTAACTTAATGCACATGTTTTTATTCCCATTCTTGTGTAGTGAAATGCATGGGGCTAGCATAAAAGTCAACTTTTGCATAGAATGCATGCTTTTCTGTAGCAGTTGCGTTTTTGTGACTTGATTCCATACATGTACTACAATATTGAAAACCAAACTTTACTTGTTTGAAAAATACACTAAAATATTGGTGTCAGGAAATTTTGTTGTTGAGTATAGATACGAACCTTGATATTACAGATTGCAGTGCTACTAAACAGATCTTGGATAATCGAATACCAAACACAACCAAGTTTACCAGCCATGAAGATAGTACTCAATACTTTTGTCATGCAAAACCTTTTTGTGTAAATATTGACTCAACATCAGACAGGAATACTGATATTATGAGTAACAACAAGTTATACAAGATTTGATTAAAACCATATGCTCTTTTATTATTAACGGCTTGAAATCAAAAACTATGTATTCGGATTAATGCTTTCAAACAAGGTGCTCAAGTTATTTGATGCACTTCGCGGGGTAAGAACCTTTTTATTACAATATGGATCTTGATTATCGATCAGATGGTTTTTGACTTGGCTCCGCCATATATGTTAAAGCAAATGCAAGTGATATGACTGACATGGAAGGGACATAACTCGTAATAGCCATTTTTTGGCGCTACGATCGAGACTGGAAATTCCAGCCTAGTTCGGCAAGGGTGGGAACTGGACTTTTATAGTCAGTTTACGTTCTTGCCCGGGAAAGATGGTTGGCTAGTAGAAAATATGAAAAGTGTTCACATTAAACGTAATACAAATACAACCATAGGCGTATATATTGCGTTTAAACAATCTATGAATTATGTATTGCCTATTGTTTATGTTTCTCTTGGGCCGGTGATGTGTCTGCGACATCAATACTGATGTCTACATGAAGAAAGGGTGTCTAACCCTGACGTAGCCATATCATAGGTTCTTGTCTTGACCAGTTAACGCTTTGGTCGGTCTTTGCCACAACGAGACATATATTCTTATTGTGTGTTGTCGACACTTTTCTCGATTATTGCACCTGGATTTCGAATGTTTTGTGTCTTGTGTGGTTAACACTCGCAGTGATCGTGATTTCGAATCCAGATTCGCTGTTATTCTTGGTTTGTTAGCATCATACCCATGTTCCTGTATTTCACCTAACTGGTAGACACACACACACACATGTACACAAACAGGTGGCCAGACACACACATGCACACAAACAGGTGAACACACACACACATGCACACAAACAGGTGGCCAGACACACACATACACACAAACAGGTGAACACACACACACATACACACAAACAGGTGGCCAGACACACACATACACACAAACAGGTGGCCAGACACACACATGCACACAAACAGGTGAACACACACACACATACACACAAACAGGTGGCCAGACACACACATACACACAAACAGGTGGCCAGACACACACATACACACAAACAGGTGAACACACACACACATGCACACAAACAGGTGGCCAGACACACACATACACACAAACAGGTGGCCAGACACACACATGCACACAAACAGGTGGCCAGACATACACATACACACAAACAGGTGGCCAGACACACACATGCACACAAACAGGTGAACACACACACACATGCACACAAACAGGTGGCCAGACACACACATACACACAAACAGGTGGCCAGACACACACATGCACACAAACAGGTGAACACACACACACATGCACACAAACAGGTGGCCAGACACACACATGCACACAAACAGGTGAACACACACACACATGCACACAAACAGGTGAACACACACACACATACACACAAACAGGTGAACACACACACATACACACAAACAGGTGAACACACACACACACATACACACAAACAGGTGAACACACACACATGCACACAAACAGGTGAACACACACACACATGCACACAAACAGGTGAACACACACACATGCACACAAACAGGTGGCCAGACACACACATGCACACAAACAGGTGAACACACACACACATGCACACAAACAGGTGAACACACACACACATACACACAAACAGGTGAACACACACACACACACACACAAACAGGTGAACACACACACACATACACACAAACAGGTGAACACACACACATGCACACAAACAGGTGAACACACACACACATGCACACAAACAGGTGAACACACACACATGCACACAAACAGGTGGCCAGACACACACATGCACACAAACAGGTGGCCAGACACACACATACACACAAACAGGTGAACACACACACACATACACACAAACAGGTGAACACACACACACATGCACACAAACAGGTGGCCAGACACACACATACACACAAACAGGTGGCCAGACACACACATACACACAAACAGGTGGCCAGACACACACATGCACACAAACAGGTGAACACACACACATACACACAAACAGGTGAACACACACACACATACACACAAACAGGTGAACACACACACATGCACACAAACAGGTGAACACACACACACATGCACACAAACAGGTGAACACACACACATGCACACAAACAGGTGGCCAGACACACACATACACACAAACAGGTGGCCAGACACACACATACACAGAAACAGGTGAACACACACACACATGCACACAAACAGGTGGCCAGACACACACATACACACAGACAGGTGGCTAGACACACACATACACACAAACAGGTGAACACACACACACATGCACATAAACAGGTGAACACACACACACACATACACACAAACAGGTGAACACACACACACATACACACAAACAGGTGGCCAGACACACACATACATGTATATACATATCTAGACAAACTCATTCTCCCTAATGTTTCAATGATATCATCGCATTCCATAAGTTATGGAATGATGAGTGTATTAAAAAGTTTGAATGGTAAACATATTTGCAAAGCTGTGGAATAGTATGGTCAGCTCAGAAAAAGCCTTACACAAGGTTCAATCAGACGAAGCTGCATATAATCTATTCCTTATAATTATATCTATACGCCAAGTGGAAGACTGTAGTCTGTACGCTGTCGATAGGTCTGGGTAAGTTTTTATTATATGTCCTTCCAATCTATTTTATATTGTTAATCGACCCGTGAAGATCCGGGGTAGAATAGGTCT